TTCTCACCGGTTGAAGCTTCCAACAATGTGAAGAGCAGCCCCAAGCAGGCATCACAGTATTTTAGGTGGTTTGATGGACATGCATGAGTGTCGTCATCTTTCCATCTGATCAAGAACTTTGTTCATCTCCATTGGGATTGTCCGGATATTGGAGTCAATTCTTTCTGCTCAATCAGATCTAGAATGGCCTTTGGGAGTGCTTTATTGACTCTCTTTGGGCGGGGGTCTATAGGAGCAGTGCTGCTAATTCTCTAAATATTGTAGTGACACTGTTTTTGTCCTGCAGATTACAGGGTGTGCTAGCCCTGGAAAAACGGTAACAATTGTGGTCCGTGGCTCCAACAAACTAGTAATTGAAGAAGCTGAACGTTCAATTCACGATGCTTTGTGTGTCATACGCTGTTTGGTAAAGAAAAGGTAATGTATAAGACTTACAGACCAGTAAAGTCACCATTCAACTTTACCAATGCCTTTTGTTAACATTTTCAAACTGCCAAATTCTAATTTCAGAGCCCTGATTGCAGGTGGTGGAGCACCAGAAATAGAGTTGGCCTTACGCTTGGATGAATATTCTCGCACCTTGAGTGGCATGGAGTCTTATTGTGTACGTGCTTATGGAGAGGCCTTGGAAATAATTCCATCCACCCTGGCTGAAAATGCAGGCCTTAATCCTATTTCTACTGTGACTGAGTTGAGAAACAGACATGCACAAGGAGAGAGAACTGCAGGAATTAATGTCAGAAAGGTAATGGGCAAAGTGGTGAGACAAAAGAAATACATATTATTGTATATTATTCCATAGAATTTTTTTTTTATATTGGAGTTTATTATGTAGTTTATTGTATGCTGCTCACTGCATTATGCATAACTCAAAGGAACAGTCAAAATATCATGTATTTGTTTTCTTTATTTCTGGTGTTCCGCCTGTGAGTGTAATTTTACACGTAGCCAAAATGGTATCATCTGTGCATAACAGAGAGATATCAAAAGGTTTTGTGGATCGCTGATGTACAGGATATATTTAAATGCAAAAAAATGGGGGGGGGGGCTCCCTAGAAACAGCCTGATTAAGATTGAACTTGATTAGTGACCACAAAATGCTGACTGGTGGTTGGGGTGGTTTGGCTGGTTGAATAGAAAACGAGGTCTGAAGTAGCTGGACTCATGAACAGCAGTTGCCTGCACTGCAACATTTTGTTGCAGTGGCTGGGGCAACCCAGTCAGGTGTGCAGAATACTACTACTAAGTGTAATTTCAATAATAATTGGCAGCCTCTGCAAATGAATACAATAGAGGAATCTCTTGGGTTGCATTCTAGTTACATGGTATTGATTCATCAAAAACCAGACACGAACTGTTGACCCCAGTTAATATATTCAGTTTCATAAAAACAGCATTGACATAAAATTCACTTGCATTCTCAAGCCTATTTTGCTGTTCAGCTGTGACAGTTGCTAAATGTATTTTTATTTTGTTTATTTCTGAGTTTAATATTTTTAAAAATTCTAAGTGGTGTACAATCAATACAAATTAACATAAAATGGCAAAATGGTGTCATAAAAACCAATCTAGTGATACAGGGTCCAGTTGGAACTTAAACATAGACTCAGATGGATTCATTCAACACGGATCTTGCTCCAGTTGATTCCAAAATATAAAACTTTATCTTAAATGCAAGAGCTGCTCATTGGAACTTCGCTTTACTTATGTTTGAAAAATGTCAAGTGTGGTTTTTGAAGCTTGATAGTGGAATGTACCTAGAGATAATTGATTGTTGGGGCTTACTGATCCAAGGAACCAAGAATTAAATATTTGGCTCTGTCTGTAGATCCATCAAAAGTGACCTTTTATTGCCCAGAGTTAAGCAATAAAAAGTGGCTTGCTTTTATTTTCCTGTTGTGAAATTTACCGTATTTTTTGCTCTATAAGACTCATTTTTTTCCTCCTAAAAAGTAAGGGGAAATGTGTGTGCGTCTTACGGAGCGAATGCAGGCTGTGCAGCTATCACAGAATCCAGAACAGCAAGAGGGATTGCTGCTTTCACTGCGCAGAAAGCAGAGATTCAGAATATTTTTTTTCTTGTTTTCCTCCTCCAAAAACTAGGTGCGTCTTGTGGTTTGGTGCATCTTATAGAGCGAAAAATACTGTAATCTTTGATGGAAACCTACTATGAAACAACTGAGAAGTCTTTTTTTATTATTAATATGACATTTTACTGGTGTTAGAAAAAAAAATATATATATATATATATATATATATATCTTGATTGCACAGCTTATTGCGGTTTTATTAAAAATGGTAAAGATTAACATAGTCAGCACTATAAAATATTTGATTATTTTAAGGCTACTTCAACTAGAATTAGTATAATTAAATATATTCCTTGGCTGCATGCCATCAGTGCCTCATATACTTACTGCACAAGAATATTTGTTCTTTCCTACAAGCTGAGATCATGTACAGCATGCTCAAAAACACTTGTAAACTTGGATGTGAATATGGTTAAGTGAGTTGATTGGCCACCTGATGAGGCAGGAGTGCATTTCTCCAGAATGAAAATGTTGGGATACCTAATTTCATGTAATTTATGCTGGTAATTTGTTTTATAAACTGAGGTTTCTTAATTTGTAGGGTGGAATTTCCAATATCCTGGAAGAATTGGTGGTCCAGCCTCTGTTGGTTTCCATCAGTGCTCTGACCCTGGCGACAGAAACAGTCCGCAGTATTCTTAAGATTGATGATGTGGTAAGTTACACTTAAAGGCTAACATTCTTGGAAATGGATATTTCATAGCAGTTAGCAAATGTTAAATGACAATTCCTATTAGATCACAATGTGAATCTGCAAGTCAACATGCTGCATTTGTAACTAAATGATGAAAGTTGCTGTTCAAATTTAAAGAGACAAATAACTTAGTGAAAGTGTAGATTAATGCTGGATGCAAACAATGATACAAAAGAATGTTGGTGATGCAGAGACATTTGAAGGTAATTGTTAAAAGTATCATCCCATACCATTCTGTTTCTCTTTGCAGGTGAATACTCGATGAGATGACTAAAGAAACAAACTGTGCAGCTCAGCACAGTGTCGCAAGTTTGGAATGCAGTTCCTTCATTGGACGTTGCATAACTCCCAGTTACATTTCATGTATACTTGTCAACTTAAATTAATAAAACCTTAAATTCTCAAGGCATATCTTGTTTACATTGTCTTTATAGCTAAACAAAGCGCACCCCCAGCAGTTTACAACAGTTGATGCTGTTAGAGTTAAAACCAGTATTGCCACAGAAACGAAAGTTGCCACTCTTGATTTCAACTGATCAGTCACTTAAAAATGTTTATAGTTATGCTAGGCAGTAAGCCATGGTAGCTTCAAACTCAAAGTCAAACTTAACAGAAGACAAACCAAAGGGTTTTCTGGATAAGGATGGAAGTAATTTGTGTTTCTCGTCTGTCTGTAATTCCACATCTTTGCTTCAGCTGAGACGACATGTTTTCATTTCAGCTTTAATTAAACGCCTAAAATGAATGGTGTCAGAAGTTACATCAGTTCATGCTGCTGGTGACATGAGCCCTTGTACCATAAATGTAGGTCAGTCTTCTAAGGTGCCTCAAGACTTTGTAACAACAGAACCTACAACTAATACAATTGCCTCTACAATTTGTCCTGAACAAGTCTGCCTAGACTTGCTGTCACCATTGGAAAAAAGCCAGTGTAATTTCGTGGTTAGAGTGTGGGTGTGGGAGATCAGCATTGCCACTCTGCCATGAAACTTACTGGATGGCGTTGGGCCAGTCACTCTTTCAGCCTAACTGACCTTGCAGAGTTGGAGGGGAAGAACCATGTAAACCATGTTGAGCTAGGAAAGGTGGGATATAAATGTCATAATCTGAATTAATAAAAACAGCTTTTATATTCTTAATGAAATCTGTTACACATCTGTTCAGAAGTAAACCACTTGGAGTATAATTAAGCTTACTCCCAAGCGTGTACATGATTGCACATTAGTGTAATGTGCAGGAATAGAAAGAAAACTAGAGAAATATCCAAATTCCTGTTTTATTTGGGACCTCTGCATACAAATCAATAGAGCAGAATGCACATGCGTTAATTCGGTGCTGCCATTGGGTTCAGAGGACCGCTGTTAAACCATACTTACCTGTACAATAAGCTGAGGTGCATATTTTCTGAAAGGTCTCTTGCAGTATTGTCCATTTTCAATGCAATTGCTACTTTTCAGTAGACATGGTTTAGCTAAATTCAAGGGCAGTAACCATACATCTTCTCTATCATCCAGTCCTCTCTTCAACTTGGGTAACAATATAGTTGTACAGCATAGAATGAATGGAGATTTGCCCCGATAATGTATTTCATCAATAGAAACCCAATAAGGCAATAGCTCTTGAAGTTTATAGAGAGCTGTTGCAAAAAGTTTATTTGGCTATGTCCGAAGTAAGAGTAAGAACAAGCAAGTGGTAGGTCCTCTGCGTGGGGAACATGGAGAAATGCTATTGGGTAACAGAAAAAGTGGAACTACTCAACACTTACTTGGCCTCTGTCTTCACCCAAAATAAAAGTGATGCTGCCCAACCTGGTGATGACAGAATAAATGATGTAAGGAGGGAGCTGCAGCTCAAGATAGGAAAAGAGGTAGTAAGGGAACACATAGCTATTTTAAATGAATTCAAATCTCCAGGGCCTGATGAACTGCATCCAAGGGTACTAAAGGAGCTTGTGGATGTAGTTTCAGAGCCTTTGTCTATTATCTTTGAGAATTATTGGAGAACAGGTGAGATCCCTACACTCTGGAGGCGGGCAAATGTCCCCATCTTCAAAAAGGGAAAGGAAGACCCAGGTAACTACTGACTGGTGAACTTGACATTGATACTAGGGAAGGTCGTAGAACAGATAATCAACAGTCAGTGTGTGAGCATTTGGAAAAGGATGCTGTGATTACTAAAACCCAGAATAGGTTTCTCAAAGGTAAGTCATGCCAGACCAATTTGATTTATTTGATGGAATTACAAACATATATATATATATATATATAAAATCAAACTGCGGGAGACAGTGGAAGACAGAAGTGCCTGGCGTGCTCTGGTCCATGGGGTCACAAAGAGTCGGACACGACTAAACGACTAAACAACAACAACAAATAATAATAAATAATAATTATAGTAACAATATCCCTCACGCGGCCTGCTGCTGTCACTTGGGCACAGCACGGGGTGTGTGTGTGTGTGTGTGCTGATGTGATGTGTGCACCCCCAGGCTGCAGAGTGGAACTTGGGGGAGGGCGGTGACCCCTCCATTAAAAATTTGTGGGAGCCCAGCCACAAGTCAGTGCCTATGCTCACTACAGTGGGGGGGGAAATAATTGTGGCCTGCAGTGCAGGAATCTCAGCTAAAGCGCCCAGGACAGGTTGCCTCCTATATATTGAGTTGTTGCCCGTCTGTCTCGGGAGACAAGGGAGATTATACGTCAGTGCGCCTGCATGTCAACCACAAAGTCGGTGGTTCGAGCCCAGCCAAGGACAACGCAGGGGGCTGGACTAGATGACCCCTGGGGTCCCTTCCAACACCGCAATGCAAGAGATAAGAGAAAGGACGAGAAGAGCATCTTGGCTCCGCAGCCCCGCCTCGCCAGGAGAAGAGCCGGGGCTCCGCGTTCGCCAGCGGGCGAGGGCTTTGTGTCCCGCGGGAGCCGCCGTAGCGCCGCCGCCTTGGCAACCGAGCCGGGCCAAGCGGCCTTGCGCTGCGCCGCCCGAAGAGAGCCATGGACGCGGCCCACCGAGCCGCCCTGCTCGCCGCCTCCTGCCTCCACACGCCGGTGGACCCCCGCACCAGGGCCCCGGTCGCGCTTTACGAGAGGGAGGGCGGAAGGCCCGCGCCGGGGGGCGGCGAGCGGCAGGTAGGCCGAAAGCGGGGGGAGGAGGCTGCCCCCTGGTGGCCGCGGGAGGGAACGGCAGGAGGAGCCTTAAGGTCTATTATACACACTCGCACACATGCAATAACCGCAAAGAAAGAAAAATAATAATGAACAATGTTCCCACCCAGTAATTAGCAGGCTACTATTTTGTCAAAGAGCAGGGAGGGGGATTAGGCTAGATGGAAGTTAAATCTTCTTATTGTTTTTGTTTATTTATTTATTTCGCACAATTTATACACCGCTTGATTGTTAAAAACCTCAGAGCTTTTTAGAAAAGATAAAACAATAAAATCGAGAAAAATTCACAACCATAGTTTAAAACCTGCAGAAGTTAAAATACTGAAACAGATTAAAATTACCTGAACTTTCTAAGCACCTGGGTAGGCTTGTCTAAACAAATTTTTTAATCTATTTTTTAAGCTTAAAAAGGTAAAGGTAAGCTTGCTAGTTGCTTTTTACCCAGAAGATTGCCAAGTGACTTACAGCCATGGACACAATGCCGTAAGAGAAGGGAAAATATTGGGCCATGGGGCCAATGTATACATCAATACATTGTCTAATGTAACATGTATGAAAAAATAAAAGCAACACAGCCACCATGTAAATAACTAGGAGAAATCAGCAACCAAAGCTTTTCCAGCTGTGTTTGCAATGATTGGAAATCACAAATGCTAGCAGCTAAGAAAAACAGTTGTTAAACCAAATATGCTTAATAAGAAAGAAAGAGAAACACTGAAAGATTGACAACTCCTCTCAAAATCACCCATGCTTGTGCCTTGAATGAGTGCCGGATTGGCACACATTTAACCAGCAGTGTTTGTATTAGCACAATGAAAACTCTGCGAGTGAAACATGTGCCTCTTGTGCACTTTTGCTTTAAACAGAGGTGGCAGGTCTTTCTGATGTTGGGAGTAACCATGACATTTTTTATATGCTGGGCTGAAAATGCTGACAGTCGGATATTGCTGTAGGTCCAGTTTTGTTCTGTATGAGTGGAAGTGGTGCCTTGCCAGGCTGTGCTAAGGTCTGCCTTTCCTCTCTGGCAATCAGGAGAGTGCATATTGTAAAGTCTGTGTGTCTTTGTGTATGATGAATTAGGCTCTATGACACATGGGTCGTCTTCCTGCCTCCCCTCTTTTCTGCTGCCAGTCATGTCACTGGGCTGTCACTTAGAACAAGAAAGGTGGCAGACTGAAAACCTGCTGTTTAATGAGTAGTAGTGTTCTAAGAATAAAAGCTTGCACTTTTAAATTTGTCAACTGCAAAGGTAATAACACTGCAAGCTTTGAAACATTCTAAATTCTTTAACTTCCATGCTTTTTTAACAATCAAGTGGTATATAAATTGTATGAAATAAAGGAAAACCGATGGAATCAATTCTAAATGGTTTTACTTCTCTTATTGCATTTTGATTGAAGACATTAGCATAGGTAATGTTTCTGAGAATTTGCAAGTCTCAAATACTATAGGAACCAGATGGTATTTGTATACGAAGCCTACACAAATCTCTTAATGAGCTTTACATCAAAGGAGTCAAAATGAGTTTACGTGCAGCTAACCAGAAAGGTACATAGTGTTGTAGTACAGCTGTTGCTGAAATGCAATTATTCATTTGAAATTAGAAATAAAAATGGATTTAAATGTTTATTACAGTTGAGCAACTTTGGCTACAGGATGATGTCATGCGGATTGGACCCTACTTTTACCATGTCTCAGCAGTTTTCAGTGCTGAGAGACGCCAAGTTCCACAGTTTGTGGCACCTACCACTTGACCAAATTATTAGCATTTTATACTTATTTCTCCAAGGGGAATGAAATCATTATAATAATATTCTGTTTTAGGATAGTTTGAGTCCTGAGAGACAGCAGCGTTCTACTGGACATGCCAATTGCAGAGACTGGATAGACCTCTCCAAAATGTACCTTTCGAATCAAGAATATTATTTAAAGCTGGAAGAGCTTAAGTACGCTCACCTGGAGACCATGGCAAAATTGGAAAACATGTATCGGAATAAACTGTATCTAAAAGATGTTCAACCTTTAACAAATGTGGATGTGACCCACAGTATGAATGATAGGTATGGTTTATAATCTATTTTTGTAGTATTATTTCTCTGAAGATGTTAAATATTGTAGTTACAGGCAGCAACCCTTTTAGGGGTTGACACGTGATTGCTGACATGCAGGTCTTTTGGACCTGGAAGAGGGCAGAACAGGGGGGACAGGGCATAATGGGGTGGGGTGTGCTTATGTGTGCTCTGCTGACACACGCAGGGGCCAGGAACGGAGCCCCTGCATGAAATAGTTGCTGCCTGTATATTATGGAGGAATCTGCATGCAGATAATCTCACCAAAACTGTGTTTTATATACTATATGCCAACAGCTTAATTTTTTTAAACTGCTGAAGAACCTTCAGTTCTAGATTTTTGTATCTGGCCGCACTTGTCTCCCTGCAGGTAACTCAGAAAGAACAGCTGAACAAGGAAGAAAACTGAGTATTGTGTGTGTGTGTGTTTCTTGCCTTGATTTGTTTTAAAATATCATTAATTGTAGGATAAACTCCTTAATCCTGCTGAAAACGTCAGGTTATATATAGATATATATAGATATACATACATATATACATGTTGGAAGGTAATTATTTAACTTTCAGAGTTACCGAGTGTGTAACACTGCTAATTGCTTAACTATGCTTAAGCAATTGGGAGTGCAGGATTGCATCCACTTTCTTCCCCACTCGATCCTTTTGGACTGGGGTGTAAATTCTTCCTAGGGATTTAGCACCAATTAACTATTACGTCGGATGGTGGCATTATCTGATGCTAAGACTAACCAGGCTTCCTGCTTACATCAGAATCTGAAGCCATAGCTTAGGACAGTAATACTGAAATGGGACTGAAATGAAATTTTGGGAACATAGTATGCGGCTTTAATACCAACTCAGTCCATTGATTCATCTAGCCCCATATTGCCTCACTGACTGGGATCAGCTCTCCAGAGTTTCCAGTTGGCTTCTTTCCCAGCAACACCTGAAAATTCCAATGACTGAACCTGGGACATTCTGCATGCAAAGCAGAGGCTCTGCTAATGAGCTGTGGCCTGTCTCCCTATTCATAGTAACAAAGTACTTTTGCATAGGGTTTTCCAAAGGTTTTAGAACACTGCAGATACTCCTTAGGAAGTGCCTTCTAAAATTAATTTTCAGTTTTGCTAATAGGAATACTTCTTATTTTTACTTCTATTCTCTGTCTTACAGGAGACCAGTGATGTGAGTTCTGATTGCAGACATAAAGCTAACATCCAGCCTATGGTTGCTTGGTCCTAACACAAATATTTCACTAAACTGTACATTTTATCATAAGGAACAAATTCAGTTTGGGGAGAGCTCTTTTTCAGGCTTCTGGTAACAAAGGCGATGAGCTGGGACACAACCAGTATAGCCCAACCTTCTATACTGGTGGGATTCTTTAGACTTGAAATGCTCCTCCATTCTGTTATTCATCAAAGCAGTCTGGTTATATTTTGCTGCTTGCAGAAAACTAACCTTCACATTTTTATTTCCTTTTAGATCTTGGGAGCCAAGCCCTTTTCAGCCTCAGAATATGTGTAAATCATTTTCTGAGCCTGATTTGAACAATTTTTTTCATTCAGATTTATCTCATATATCTGATAAAGAAATAGAGTTAGAAGAAAATGACAGTGAAAACAGATCACTAACATTTGGTAAGGAGCATACTGAAAATTCATGGGATAGATCATCTTTGGAGGACTATTCTCACTGCAACCAAAGTATTTTATCCAAATTACAGACTTTAAGGAAGAGCAGGAGGAAGAAAAAAAAGTGGTCCCCAAAGATCACAATACCTGAGCCTTTCCAGATGACTATCAGAGAAGCTAAGATAAAACAACAGAACATAAAGTCAAAGTCACTGATTGAACTGGAAAATAACTTGCTGAAGAAAGAATTGGAGGAGGAAGCAGAATGTCAAAAGAAATTCCGAGCCCATCCAGTGCCTGCTCATGTCTTTTTCCCTCTCTATCATGATATTATGCAGCAAAATGAAGAACGTAGAAAGTCACTAAGAGAGAGGAGGCGAGAGATCCTTCTAGCTACACAAAAGCCGTTTCAGTTTATTGAGCGGGAAGCACAAAAGAAAGAAATGAAGAAAATGCAGTTGAAGGACGTTTCTTCACCAGAAAAGAAAGCAAAAGTATTCAAAGCAAAGCCAGTTCCTAAATTTGTTTATAGTTCAGAAATTAATGAGAAGCTAAAGGAGGAAGAGCTTTATAGAGATATTAGAATTCAGATGAGATCAGAAGAACTTCTGCGCAATTCATCTCTTCCTAACAGTAGGTTAGGAAACAGGGGCATTAATAAGAATAGGCAGCAAAATCATCTTGAGCTGACTAAAGAAGTGGAACACAAACCAAAGACCAAAGCCAAGGTCCCAGATTTTGAAATTTTACATCAAAAATTCCTGAAGCGGCTTCAGAGACAGAAGAATGTGAAACACATTACAGCCTGTGAACCCTTCAATCTCTGTACACCAAATATAGCATCCAACAAAGAGAAAATTCTTGAGGACATTCAAATGGATGAAGAAAAATTAAAGGAAACACGCTGGCCCTATGCTTCTTCAAGAGCTAAGCCTCAAATGAGGTCTTTGAATGCAAATTCATCTCCTTCAGGCTGTGAAGAATCTGTATCTCCAAGAATTACAGAATCTACAAGACGACGACTACAAGCAGTCAGGTGAGCTGTTCACAGGCCTGGACTGATGTAATTGTCGTTAGTTTAATTTCAAGTTGCTTGTGGAAAATAAAACCATGTTGATGCAATAAGGTACTAAATACTTGTTTTAGTTAATCGCTGCATATCTTAAGTGAAGTTAAAACTATGATCCACATGGGATTAATAAAACTATTATTCTCTGTTTATAATGGTTTTACTAATTGCATGTGGATATTTTTTTATATAAGTAATTTTTATTGGTTTTCGTATCTGTTTAACAACAAATAAGTAGACAACTAAACATAATCATGTTAATCATATTAATTTTGGTTTTTTTGATAATGAAATATGAAGATTATCTTTGATTGCGTGAAATTCATGCTATTTTGGAGAGGAATTCAGTATTGCAGTAAGGCAATCATTTCATCAGAGCTAGCATTTCAGATGAAATGAACCCCCCTTTCCTTCCTCCATGTGCTGTTCTGGGGCTTTCAGGGAATGGGGGCGGGGCGGGGGGGGGGAAGTCCTTCTTCTCCCCATAATTGTTTTAAGCTACACTCCATTGTCAGCAGCTGATTTTGCGTCCCCTCTTCCCAGATCTTGTGTCTGGTGTTGGGGCACCAGTCACTTTGCCCTAGTTACACAACTGACAAGACCAAGGGGGCCAACCATTTCCTGAGTTCAGTGTTCTGATGTAGTGGTTGTAGCAATGGATGTCTCCAGAGAACTGTGGATGGATGGTTGGCTATGTTCTCTTTTAGGGCAAGGAAACCATCTTTGATTAGTCTCACGGTGGAGTATTAGAGGAAGTACATTGTTACATTGCATGTATGTCTGAACTCACATGCATGTCCCACACTCGTGTATTCATACACACGCTACTGAGAGGTTTAGGATCCTTTGATAGAGTTATGATGTGCGTCCGTTGTGCCAACAAGAAGTTCCTACACCAGAGATGTATTATATGAAATGAAAGTGTCAGAATAGATAAATGTTGCTTCAGAAAGCAAAATTACAATTTAAGCAGGCAAAGAGTGAGTGAAAGAATCCTTAACTGTTCTCAAAAGCCTATAGAAAATGAGCGCGACAATTTCACCACAGAACCCACACTAATAGCAAGTCAATAAATGGAGCGGGGGAAGGTAGACTTGTCCTTGAAGCGAAGTAAGAATTCTTTCTTCGAGCTTGGAGAGCTAACCAACCATTGAAAACCATTGTAAAAATTTTAGCCAATTCATTCTAATGGAGAAGGGAGGGAGCTCTGAGATGAGCAATTCCTATAATTTTAGTATTTCTATTGTTATGTTGTTCCTTCCCAGAGTTTCCTGCCTATTTCCCATTTTCTTTATTTTGCTTAATAAAACGTTGAAAGGATCTAGTGAGCAATGACTGAACTGTTTATCCTTGTTTACTTACTATCTTAAAGTTACCTTACTATTATCGTGATCATCCATTCAGGTGTTGATTAGATGTTATTAGTTGCTGCTAGATTTACACGTGCTGATATTTACACAAGGTATTTGGAGCTCAGGATGTCTCTTCAGTGCCTTCCAGGACATATTTTTGAGATACGGCTGGTACCAGCATCAAAAAAGTTCATAATGGGGATCTCCTGTTATATTAAGTTATGCCAACCTTCTTACTCATTCCATGATCTACAATAATAAGTCATAGAAAAAGTTGAGATGGACACATACCCATTCACATCATTTTTTATTAAATGTATCACAAGACTTAACAAAATATTCCAGCAATTCAAAAGAAAGAAAGAAAAACAATTGCGCACAATCATGTATAAGGGTAAAGAAATAAAACATATTTTTAAATAATAAAAAATAAACTTACACAAAAGCGGCAACATGGCAGTATTCCAAGACAGGACACAGGCATCAGATGAAATAATATTTGGGTGGGATTTGCCATCTGTGTGAAGTACATTACTTCTTGATCTGTGTAAGTTTATCCTTGAAAAATTCTATAAAGCCTTTTCTCAATTTAAATTTATTTAGTTCTGCTTTATTTTGTTATTCAGGGAGTCAGCAGAGGAAAAAAGAAAGGTAGAAGAAGAGAAGAAGAAAAATAAAACAAAACAAAAAGAAAGAGCAAGAAAGCTACAGAGACTTATATACACCCGGGCTGAGGCAAATGATCCCCATCAAAGTCTAGCTCAGATGCATAAATCGAAGTTTAAAATACTCAGGTATTCTGCTATTGTAGCCTCCAAATCCTGACCCAATAGGTGCAAGATCATTAGTTCCGTAGCAGACCCTCAAAGTGTGTAACATAGTTTAGTCTTGCTGCTTCTATTTTTATTTTGCTGTCAAAGTTCATGATTAAATTCCATACCATTTCCATGTCATGGTATATTAAAAAAAACAGGAAACATGAAAAGCAGAGAATGAAAGAATATCTCCAGGAGCTGGAAGAAATGGAAGAAAGAGTGAAAAAGAGGCCGCTGTTGTTGGAACAAGCCACACAGGTGTGATGGGATTATGAGCTGCTTGTGCGTAAAATCGTATTCCCTCAGAGTTTGTTCAAGTCCACAAACCTCTGTCTGTGACTGAGCCCCTCTGACATGGCTCCTCTTAGTCACTAGAAGATTCCGACAGTGGTTGCTTTCGTAATCGCTTCCAACATAAAAGCTCCTTAACGGAAACACGTCTTCTGGACTCTCTGCGTGACAGTTTCCGGCGAGGAGTGGGTGTCGCTACAGGAGGTCCGGAAACCTCACCACTGTTTTCGCTGGAAGTATCTCTGAGCCATCCCCCCAGCTCCCTTTCCCTCAGTTCAGCTTCTCTCCCCCTGCTGGTTTCCTCTTCAGCTGCTAAGTCTCTTCCAACCTGTCTGAGCCCTTTCACCTCCCTCAGTTCAGCTTCTCTCCCCCTGCTGGTTTCCTCTTCAGCTGCTAAGTCTCTTCCAACCTGTCTGAGTCCTTTCACCTCCCTTCCTACCGATGGCAGTTCCCTGACATCCACCTCCCCTCCAGGGCCCCCTTCACCCCCTCTCGCCCCCTCCTCTACGGGCGGTGAGGAGGCAAAACCCGGAATGAACTTCCTTCATCTTCCGATGTCTCGAACACTTCTCTCCACCTGTTGCGGTTCCTGGTCTCGAAGCACTCCTCCTCCTCCGAGTCCATCTCCCCTTCCCCTTCCGATTCTGGGAATCCTTCCAACTCCTCCTCCTCCTCAGTGGTCCCAAAGTATTCCCTCCGGAACCTCTCCACAGGCTGAGGTTTCCGCGGGAACCTTTGATGGAACATTTCTATCAATACCTCGTCATTGATATCTTTGGCCATTACCCACGTGTTTTCTGACTCCGGTTCTCCTTCCCACGCTACCAAATACTCCACCTGATTCCCCTTCCACCTGGCATCAAGGATTTCTGCCACATGACTGCTGCATTCTCTTTCTTCTATGACCGGTCCCAGTGGCCATCCCTTCTCGTCCCCCCTCGTACGGTGACAGTAACGACCTGTGAAATACTGGGTGCAGTTTCATGTGGTTGGGTAACCGGAGCCTGAAAGCCACTGGGTTGACCTGTTGAATGACCTCAAAGGGACCCAACCTCCTGGGTCTTAATTTCTTACAACCTCCTTTGAGCGGCAGCCCTCGGGTTGACAGCCACACCCTCTCTCCAACCCTTATGGTTTCACCTTCCCTTCGGTTCTTGTCTGCCTGCCTCTTGTATTCTTCCTTCGCCCTTTCTAAGTTGAGTTGGAGCTGACGGTGGATTGCTTCCATTTCTTCTACAAAATGCTCGGCTGCCGGTCCGCTCCATCTCTCCCCTTCTCCCCCTGGGAAAGCCCTGGGATGACACCCATAATTAGCCAAGAAGGGGCTCATCCCTGTGGACACATTCTCGGCATTGTTGTAGGCAAATTCCGCCAGCGCCAACTTTTCTACCCAGTCATTCTCTCTGTCATTGACATAACACCTCAGGTATTGCTGGAGGACACCGTTTGCTCTTTCCGCCTGCCCGTTGGTTTCAGGGTGCCGGGCAGTCGAAAAGTTGACCTCCACCTGCAGTAAGCTCATGAGCTTCCTCCAGAACCTGGAAGTAAATTGTTTTCCTCGGTCTGAGACCACCCTCAATGGCACCCCGTGCAACCTAAAAATGTGTTCTACAAATAACTTTGCTGTCTCTTCCGCCGTGACTGCATGCGAGCAAGCTACAAAGTGGCACATCTTTGTTAGTAGGTCTACCACCACCATGATGGCTGTTTTCCCTTTGGACTTCGGCAGATCAGTCATAAAATCTATCGACACTGCCTCCCAAGGTCGTTCTGGTGTTGGTAAGGGTTCTAATAGCCCCGCCGGCGCCCGCCTTTCCCCTTTGGCTCGCTGGCACTGCTCGCACCCTCTTACATACTCACGTACATCCTCCCTCACCTTAGGCCACCAAAATTCCCTGGTGACCAACCACATGGTTTTGTGTTGCCCAAAATGCCCGCCGTGGGGCTGTCATGCACCTGCTTGAGTACCCTCCACCTTACGTCTCCTTCAGGGATATACAGTGCCCCTTTGTAATACAAAGCTCCATTTCTTTCCTCGAAACCCCTTGATTCCTCTCCCTCATCCCTAAGACCTCTAAGCTTATTCTGGGCGTATTCATCATTCTCTGTTTCTTCTACCAGTTCTCTTTGTCCCACCAATGCCGCCCCACACACCCAGCGGTCCTCTGGAATGACATGTCTCTCTTGGTGCTCCCTCCCCTCCAAATATTCAGGTTTGCGTGAGAGAGCGTCCGCCCTAATATTCTCTGGGCCTGGCACGTAACAAATCTCAAAGTTAAATTTGGAGAATTCCTGAGCCCATCTCACTTGCCGTTGGTTGAGCACTCGTGCCGTCCTCCAATACTCTAGGTTCTTGTGGTCAGTGCACACTTGCACCTTATGTTGTGCGCCAATTAGCAGGTGCCTCCATCTCCGGAACGCCTCATGAATGGCTAGTAGTTCTCGGTCATACACCGTGTAGTTCCTCTCGGATTTGTTCAGCTTTCGCGAAAAAAGCACACGGTCTCCACTCTGACTCCTCCTTCCCTGGCTGGAGAAGCACCGCCCCAACCGCTCTGTCTGATGCATCAGTTTCCACTCTCATCGGTTTTGTAAATCCACATGCAGGAGCTGTTGTTCCGAGGCGAAGGCCCTTTTAGTTCCTCAAATGCTTGCTCCGCCTCCTCCGTCCAAACGAACTTCTTCTTACTGCTGAGACAGTCCGTAATGGGCGCCGTCAGGTGGGCAAAGTTTGGGATGAACTTACGATAGAAGTTCCCAAACCCTAAAAACCTCTGCACATCCTTCCTTGTTTTGGGTGTTTTCCATTCCAGTACCGCCTGGACCTTGCCGGGATCCATGGCCAGCCCCTTGTCAGACAGGCGATACCCCAGGAATTCCACCTCCTTGGTATGAAACTGACACTTCTCCAGTTTCACCCACAGCTGGTTGGCTTGCAGCCTGCTCAACACTTCTCTGACGTCTCTCACATGCTGCTCCTCATTCTCAGAATACACCAACACGTCGTCTAAGAAGGCCACACAATTCTTGTAAAGCAACGGCCCCAGGACGTGGTTCATAAACGATTGAAATGTTGCGGAGCCTGCTTGTAGACCGAAGGGCATAACTAAGTATTCAAATGCCCCTAAAGGGGTGAACATGGTGGTTTTCCATTCATCCCCCTTCCTTATTCGTATCAGGTTGTACGCCCCCTTAGATCCAGCTTGGTGAAAATCTTTCCCTTTCGCACCCTTGTCAAAATGTCGTCAATCCTGGGCATCGGGAAGGCCACTGGTTCTGACACTGCATTTAAGGCCCTGAAGTCACACACCAGTCTCGGCTTGTTCGTGTTTTTGTCCACAAAAAACACTGGGCTGCCCAACACCGCCCTGGACTCTCTGATGAACCCTCTCTTCAGGTTCTTGTCAATGAACTCTCTTAGCTCCTGCATCTCTCTGTCTGACATGGCGTACAGCTTGCCCACAGGGAGCTGTGCCCCAGGGAGCAAATTGATTTGACAGTCAAAGGCTCTATGCGGTGGTAGTTGGTCAGCTTCCCTTTCGCTGAAGACGTCGCGGAGATCTGCGTATTGTCGTGGTACCTTCACGTTCTCCTTCACTTCAGTCCCTGCTAGGGTGGCTTGGGCCCCTGCCAAAACCTTTCCCTCTTTGCAATGTTCTAAGCAATGTGCTGACCCAAAAGAAACCACTCTCTGATGCCAGCCCACCAGCGGATCATGTAACGCTAGCCAGCTCATCCCCAATATAATGGGAGCTCCTCCCAAGGTGGCCACATTAAAAGCTATCAGTTCAGTGTGCCTTGCCACCTTCATTATCATTGGGACGGTCTGCAAGCTGACTTCTCCTCCCAACAGCTCCCTGCCATCGATCGTGGTTACCTGCAGGGGTTGCTTAAAGGAGCGTCTGTATCTGGTGTTCAGCTGCAAACTCTTTGCTCATGAAATTGCAGGAGCTGCCTGAGTCCAACAGCGCCTTTATCTTTAGAGGTGTCCGTTTGGGAGCTCTAGTGTCACTTCTATCACTAGGGCGGGTTTGGGAGGTTCTGGGTGGGCACTTTCACTGCTCTTTGGCCTGGCTGCTGTGCCCCGACAATGGCAGCCAGGCGTTGGCTTTTAGTTGCTCCGGTATTTTTCCTCTCTTCCCTCCACAGCTCCCACCATCCCTTGCCATTCCTTCCTCTGGGGGCAGACTCTGGCAAAGTGCCCTGGCTGTTGGCAGAGATAGCATTTCCGGGCGCCTTTTCCATCCTTCTTTCCCCCTCACTGGGCTTTGAAACTGCGCGCGCGCTGCTGTTCCGATTTCCATCGGCTCTGCCGGCGGGACAGTTGGCTCTGGAATTTCTGGAATGCGGAACTCCTTCCAACGTTCCCCTTTCCCTTCCCTCCTCTCCAATGCTCTCGCCTCCTGGCGCTCCTATGGCCAGCGCTGATTTGGTCAGCTGGTCCATAGACTCCGCCCTGGGCGCCCGGGAAAGTTCATCTTTCACAGCCGAAGAAAGCCCTTCTTCAAAGAGCATTTGAATGGGTTCCGCCGATAAGTCCCACCCCAATCTGTGTATCAGCATGGTGAACTCAGTCCAGTACTCACGTACAGATCGGCTCCCCTGTTTGCAAGCCATTAACTGTCTGCGCACCACTCCCTTTTCAATATCGCTGGAAAACATCAGATCCATGGCGCGAAAGAACTTCATCGTGTCCTTTAAGACGTCACTATTAGCTGCCATCAGGTGTCTAACACAGACTCTCGCCCCCTTAACAAGATGCCCAATCACAAAAGACAATCGTGATTCCTAATCAGTGAAATCATCAAAATGAAGATTGAGGGCATAATGCATTTCTGTCAGAAAGCTATGATCTTCTTTGGGCTCCCCCAAATTTTGCACCAATCCTGGTACCTTTCTGGCGAGCTGGGTGGCTTTCTCCCTTTGTCTGCATCTTGAGCCCTCCTCTCCTCCAGCCTCGCCGTCTGCAGCGCCAGCTGGACCTCCAACACTCGGTACCTTTCTTCCAGGCTTGGACCCGCTCCAGCCCCTGCTTCTCCGGTTCCTGCTGGGTTGCTCATTATGCCTTCTCCTGCACAAGCTGCGTTCAAAGACTGTCGGAATGCTGTGATGGGATTATGAGCTGCTTGTGCGTAAAATCGTATTCCCTCAGAGTTTGTTCAAGTCCACAAACCTCTGTCTGTGACTGAGCCCCTCTGACATGGCTCCTCTTAGTCACTAGAAGATTCCGACAGTGGTTGCTTTCGTAATCGCTTCCAACATAAAAGCTCCTTAACGGAAACACGTCTTCTGGACTCTCTGCGTGACAGTTTCCGGCGAGGAGTGGGTGTCGCTACAGGAGGTCCGGAGACCTCACCACTGTTTTCGCTGGAAGTATCTCTGAGCCATCCCCCCCAGCTCCCTTTCCCTCAGTTCAGCTTCTCTCCCCCTGCTGGTTTCCTCTTCAGCTGCTAAGTCTCTTCCAACCTGTCTGAGCCCTTTCACCTCCCTCAGTTCAGCTTCTCTCCCCCTGCTGGTTTCCTCTTCAGCTGCTAAGTCTCTTCCAACCTGTCTGAGTCCTTTCACCTCCCTTCCTACCGATGGCAGTTCCCTGACAACAGGTTATTGACATCTCTCATATACTGGGGTGCCAGCTTTCTTCTTTATCTGATGATCAAGAACTGTCATTGAGGAGATGCAAGTTATGTCACCCTCCCAGGCTCCGGTCTCCCATTGCATCACTTCTGTCTGCCTCATTTCATTTGTCTGTGCTTTCTCAACCAGCAATGATTGCTGCCTTCCTGGTTATAATTGTGTACAGTAATGTCCCAGTTAAGCTGTCTTATTTTATACTCTGCATTCCTAATCCACCCACCACAGTGTGAAGAGTAGAGGAGATGCCACTTAATTTAACTGTGATTATTTACACTTGTTTTGTTTACTTGCTTGATTTCTAGTCTGCCTTTTGATCCGGAAGGATCCCAAGTGGCTTACTTAAAATAATGCAACAACATTAGGTTTGCTTCTTCCATTTCTGGCACATGGTATTGCTCTCTGGTAGTATGTCTTCCCTTCTACCTAAGGCTGCAAGTCAAGGGCAGAGATGGATGAACCAGCCCTAGCTGAGCAGATATGTAATCTAAACGTTTAATATTTTTAACATGTAATTTAAACATTTAATGTGTTTGCCGGCGCAGAGGTGTTGAGTACCAAATTTAAAAATGCCACTGTCTAAAGCTTTGTGTTTGTGTTCCACAACATTTTCATGCTCTGAGGTCATGGATGTTTGGCAAGCAGTGTACACATCCACAGCCGTATACAGTGGTACCTCAGGTTACAGACATTTCAGGTTACAGACGCTTCAGGTCACAGACTCCACTAACCTAGAAATAGTACCGTGGGTTAAGAACTTTGCTTCAGGATGAGAACAGAAATCATGCGGTGGTGGCGTGGTGGCAGCGGCAGGAGGCCCCATTAGCTAAAGTGGTGCTTCAGGTTAAGAACAGTTCAGGTTAAGAACGGACCTCCAGAACGAATTAAGTTCTTAACCTGAGGTACCACTGTATATTCTTTAAATTTAAGAGTATCTTTGTAATGTATTTTGTTATTCTTTTACTCTACCTCTCCTAAAATATAGAAAAATGCACGAATAGCAGCCGAGAAGCATTACTCCGGTATTCTTCGAGAGCTGGGACTATGTGAAGAGTTTGTTTCAAAGAAAGGTGAAACAGCTACAGAAATGCTTTTGCAGGACCATTCCAGTGGTGGCTCTGACATTTTGACAGCAGACGGTGAAAGGTAAATACTGCCAGTGGTTGCCATAGATCAGGATGGGCAACTTGTGGCCTTCCAGATGTTGTTGGACTCCAACTGCCAGCAACTGCCCAGCCAAGGTGGCCAAGGATCAAGGATGATGGAAGCCGTGGTCTAAAAAAATTGGGAGGGATGCAGATGCCCCATCCCTGCCCTAGATGTTTTAAGAGGGAGACTGACAACTTTAATCTCAAACTGCCCCTTTTGTTGTAGCTTATTCTAATAGCACAGAGCTCTAAAATCCAAAGCCTCATGTCCATGTGGTATGTCTGTGCCTCCTCTCTGGAGAGAGACTTAAATCTCCATTGGGTGACAGCATCATGTGAGTCAGCATCGACTTCCCTTCCCTCGTTTTTCCTCTGCTATCCCAGTCTGGTCTAGTGGGTTCCCCAACTCTCCAGAGCACATTTGGGGGGCATGCAGGGAACTAAATGGGAGATGGTGGGAGATCTGTCCTGCCAGCTGTGGTCATTCTACTGGCAGATGGACACTGTTGGAATTTCACCCATTGAAAAGAATGTGAAAATATTCACCGCCCTTATACCTGCAGTTGATTGGTGGATTGATGAATTGGTGGTAAAAGTACTCAAAGTAAAGCAAACTGCCAAAACCCAAAAGTCCACGGATGCTTCCTCTATCTGGGATTATGCTAAGTGTGCATTTCCCTTTTTACTCAGTTATTAGGTTATTACATCAGAACTGCAAGAACTGGAATGGGCAAGGTAATCAAGCAGCCAAGAGGTTTTATTTGCAGCTTTAGGAAGATCAACAGCAGACTTGGAGCTCTCTAGTGGACATGACAATAGCTGCCCTTATTTTTCAGGAGTGTTCCCTAGAATGGAGGGGCTGTGAGGCCACCCCCTGAACCATCCCATATATACGAATCATGTTGGAACATTAGTAATTTTAGCTTGATAGCTTCTAATTGAGCTGACCTAGCTGGGCTTGTGGCTGATTATTCTTTGGAGACTGACTGGCACTTATAGCTAGAGCTAGGTCCATGAGTATGAGGACCAACCACATGCATGGCTCCAATATCGGAGTGCTGATTTTAAAAACAAGGCTATTCTGTATATTGCTTCACACAGAAAGCAGGCTGTTTGGAGACTTGCTTCAGGATGTCCTCAAGAAAGGACACAGTGATGGTTTTATCACTTACTGTCTTCTTACAGTCAAGATGGAGAAGGGCAGGCATTTAGACTTTGCATGCTGCTCCAGGATTCTTTGTTCTTGTGGGCTTACGATCCATTTCATCTGGGGGACAGTGGTCTTCTGTACCAGTGCACCCTTTGAATATACGTGCATGGCAGCCTGATGGCTTCTTTGTTCATGAGGCATTCTGAGATTGATGGTTTTGTCTCTGCAGATGCCTCCTTTGAGGGTATCTGGGAGGGTTCAGGGCACATGGGCGGGGGGAAGGAAAAGTGAGAGGACCTGCTGCACAAAGCATAAATCCTTGCACTGATGGATCTGTGACTTAGTGCTGCATTGGATGCAAGCCATAATGCTACACAAGTTGAAACTAAATTTTACAATGCAATAACATTGTCACCAGTGCAATAACACGAAATCACGCCAGTTGACAAATTTGAAAATAGCTCCTTATGGCTGTGATCTGATTGGGTCATAATATGTATTCAGCTGTTCTTCAGAGGATGCCAATGGGCAGTGGTTTTCTTCTGTTTCTCCTGTAGTGATAATGAAAATAAAGCAGGAGATGGAGAATCTGAGAGAGAATGGGAGAGCTCACAGCTCCATTCTGCCCAGTCTTGTGGAGAGGAGGATGGTGATGAGGAGGATGTGGAAGCCTCTGAAGAGGAGGTGGACATGGAAGCTCAGCCAGATGACGATGGCCAGGAGGCTCCTGAGTATGAAAGTGAAAACAATGAACAAGCTGCCACAGAAAAATCCAGTGATGATGAAGGCTAACTGAAATGCATGTTGTGTGGGTTTTTGTATTTTGAATTTATTCTGTTGCTCCAAATAATATAAGAGATGGAGAAAATGAGACAACTGGTGCAAATAGAGTTTTGAAGCATTTTTAATGTGCTGATCAGCTGTGAGTTTTCAACTGGCTTATTTTATTTATTAAATTTGTAGACTGCCCTATATCTGCAAGTCTCAGGGTGGTTCCCAGGATAAAATCAATATAAAACCACAAAATTCACAATCAAAACAAAAACAACCCAGTAATCCTCACCCCACATTTTAAAAAGGCATAGGATGTCAACCAACCAAAGGCCTGGTTAAAGAGGAATGTTTTTGCCTGGCACCTAAAGGTGTATAATGAAGGCCCCAGGCAAACCTTCCTGGACAGAGCATTCCTCAGATGGGGAGCCACTGCAGAAAAAGCCTGTTCTCGTGTTCCCACCCTCTGGATCTCGTGGAGGAGGCACACGAAGAAGGGCCTCAGAAGATGATCTCAGGGTCTGGGTAGGTCCATATAGAAAGAGGTGGATCTTTGAAGTATTGTTGTCCTGAGCCGTTTGGGGCTTTATAGGTTAAAACCAGCACTTTTAATTGGGCCCAGAAACTAATTGGTAGCCAGAGCAGTTGGACCAGGATTGGTGTAATATGCTCAAACTGTCTTGCCCCAGTGAGCAACCTGGCCGCTGAATTCTGCACTAGCTGAAGTTTATGAACTGCCGTCAGAGGCAGCCCTACATATAATGCATTGCAATAATCCAGCCTAGAGGTTACCAGAGCATAGGCAACAGTAGTTAGGCTATCCCTGTCCAGATAGGGGCATGGCTGGGCCACCAGCCAAAGCTCATAAGCTCTCTGGCTCTCTGGGCCACTGAAGCCACCTTTCATTTACTCCTTTTATTATAAAAAGCAAAGGTAGCTGTGTTGGTCCCTAAGGGGAAAAACCCCCTCCAAAATCTACAGTTTGCAATACCTTATTAGGACAAATCGAAATATCACAAAGCAGTGGCAAGCATTTGTGTTTTCCAAAATTCTTAATCAGGCAAGATATTACATAGAGCAAGGGCAGGGGAATGAGGAAAAATAAGCAAGTATAAAGTATATAGATTTTAGTAGAGGTGTGCATCAGCTGTGTGTAGAGGCTGAATAACAAGGTGAATTAGGCTGATTTGAGGTATCCCCCCAAGTTGAAGCACAATGTATGTAATCCCCCTTTTCAAAACTGGGTAAGTGCTCCCGCAAGGCCATGTGATTTTCTGCTTGTTTTGTACAGAATAGTTCTGTTTTTTTGTATATCTCTCTTTCTCTAGGTCCATGGGCTTTGTAAAACACGAGACTGCTAAAAATGTTGCTTGTAGAGCCCTGAAGAGATTTGGATTGAATTTTGTTAAAGCACAGCAGCAGAGGATACTTTTTAAAAGTTAAAATTTACATCTTTTTCATAAATTCTTTGCTGCCCCGCTTTAATCAAACCAAAAGAAATCTCTCCAGGCCATTTTCTAGAGAGCCTCTTATTGTGAGGCCTGTATCAGACGTCTGAAGGCCTACCTTGGAGGACACAAACAGCCACAGGAAAATTTTTTTAAATGTAGAAGCAAGAATACACATCACATGGACCTTCTATTTATTGTTTTAAGATAAGAAAGAGCAAGAGACAGTCCCCTTTGAAAAGATGCAACTGCTATGGATTTGGGTGTTTTAGTTGGCCTACTGAAGTCATTGCCCTAATATAGATTATGAAGGAAAGTTACAGCACAAACTCCAACTGGACAGGCTTTGTCTGCAATTTGGCTGCCTTAATCCACTCTGGAGAAGGCCAGTTATGCCTCTGTATTTTGTCTGCTTTGGCCAAAGGTGGGGGGGGGGGCAAGTCCTAGGTATTTTTTGATTCTACACCATAGAGCTCTGTTTTATAGAATGCAGCTTGGAATCCAAAACATAGATTGAAGTGATGAGAGCACAGAGTATGGCAGGAACAGAGAGAAATTACATATAGATTCAAAGCAAATCTTGGGCTCTGTGGACAGCCTTAGCTTTCAGACAGTGTTCCAGGGTAGAGATTGCAAACTGGTAAGTCTCTCTTCAGTGCTGTAGGGAATCAGGTTTTGCATTTAGGATTCTGGGACAAACAAGCAATGGCTGTTCTGCGTGTGTGTGTTCTATTTATTTCATAAAATTTATATACCACTTGTTTGGGGGGGAAAACCAACAACCCTCAAACAGAAATGCGGCAGTCTAAATGTTAGTAAAACTACAGATTAATTTTAAGTGATACTTTAAGTAAATGAGTCAATTGAAGCCCAAACTATTGCATAGTGGTTGAAGGGGGTGTCACTCTCAGAATGCAAAGTTCTTCTATGAGTGGTAAAAATCATCTCCCTCTGGATATACATTTTGCCCTGAAGCTTGCAGAAGCAATGGAAGCTTCTGGTCCACAAGAACCCCACACCCACCATTGGGCAATGTTTTCCATTAGGAAGCACAGCCCTACAGCGCCACCTGGTGTTACATGTTTATAACAATAAAATGGATGAATGCAGCTGAGTCCCATGTGAATCAGTGCAGCAGAGCTTAGAAGTGGGGAAAGTTGCCAAGAGCTGTACTTCTGATTATTGCCAAGATTCATCTCTAAGATACAAATACTAGATTGGTAGCATCTGTGAACACTTGTTACTTCAAAACATAGTTGTACCCTGTTATTGTCATTTTTTAATAGTTTCTAACTTTTATTTATTCTGTCTTCGCTATTCCTTTCCATCTGAAGAAATTTCAGATCGCAAATTAGATCACCACACAATAATTTTATTGAGTGAGTGGTATGGCATGCGCTATGACAATAACTGAGGTGGTACCTATACGTTCGGTCCTAGGGCTTGCCTAAGATTCCTTTGCTACATCATTTATCAAATTATTTCTACGTCACATTTTGGGGCACAGTCCAATCAGGTGGCTCACAGTATAATATCAATATGGACTCATCCTTTGAATTTTCAAAATGTAGGTTTACTGTTCTGTAAAGGGGTTGTGAAAATGATACTTTCCTCAGCAGTCATGAATCTCAGTATAGTGATAACATCTTTATACTAAAAGTGTTTTGAGTGTGATGAGGAAAATATAAAAAGTACAAAAATTAGGTTGCAGCCAATAGGTTACTTTTTAATTATAGTTGGAAAAACAAAATGACTTAATATGTGTAGCAGTAAATGCTTAGCTCAGGGGTCGCCAGTGGTACTGTAGATCTCCATAAATATCTCTTCAAAAATCCTCAGTACAGAAGAACTTGTTCTTCCTACTCAGTTCCTGTTCGCATTGGCTCACCCTCCCCCCCACTGAACATGCCCCCATTTCATCTGTTTTGAACAGAGGAGAGGTACAAATAGCTTCCTTCTGAGAGCAGGTGTGGCAGTGGCTGGTCTAGTTGCCTTGCAGATTGCCCCATCACTTTGTGGTCCTGTCTCTCAGATGCAGTAGCAATGGCATCCCCCCCCCCCCGTGGCAGCCATTTTGTGTTATTCCACACTTCTGTGGCAATCCTTTTGTATTATACCACATCTCCATGGCAACCCTGTTCATAGGATCATAGCATTGTGGAGCTGGAAGGGACCTCAAGGCTCATCCAGTCCAGCCTCCTGTAATGCAGGAATCACATCTAAAGAGTCCTTGACAGGTAACCATCTAATCTCTGCTTCAAATGAATGAGTGTCCACCACCTTCCAGGGAGTCTGTTGCTATATGCCAGTAAGACATTTTCTCAAAATTTCCTCAAATATGGCCACTGGCCCCAAAGAATTGGCAAACTGCGTCTTAAACAGACATAGCATGCAAACTGCTCATTTTTTATTTATTCAGATAAGATTTCATCAGTTACTCCAAGAGTTCCCCAGGTCTCAATGCTAGTCTACTATCAGGAAATCTGAACGTTTTAAACCTCTGCTTATAATGTGGCTTCTTTAAAATTCAAAAGGACTTTTGCCATTGATTCAGCATCGTGTGGCTTAATCAGTGTTGCATTGATGCATTACTTTAAATATATACAGCATTTCAAAAATAAAACTTTCTTACTGTTACAGTGTTCCTAAACATGTTAAAAACGCAATAGTAATATCAGACATACATTGGTTATTAAATAATTATATGAAAATGCTGAGTACAGTGAAACAGCTTCTCTTGATTTCATTGAGAAGGTTACACTGGTTAAACTTGTATCTGGGGTCCTTAACTTGTGGTCCATGGATGGGCTTGAGAGGGTCCATGAACTGGGCAGAAAAGCAATGATTTTCCAATGCAATAAAATAAATTGAATGTGAAATTTTGTGTTTATGTGCTTTCTTCAGATTCTCAGGAGGGTTCATGACCCAAATAAGGTTAAGATCCGCTGCCCTACTTGTTAACTCGATGTCAAGTTTAAGATTTCCATTTCCATGTTCTGTTTTTATTTCGCCTTTCTTCACCATCTATCTTCTATATGGAGCTGCTTTTTCCAGAAACCATTACATCTCATAGAAGACTGTTTTCTGTCTCTCTTTTAAAAAATGAAAGGGTGTGCCTTTTACACTTGGACATTGAAAACACAGTGAATTAAGTGTGTGTTTCAATGTTGAAATTAAGAAATTGTAAAACGGTTCAGACATTTCAAGACTTAGCCCTTGAAGTATCATAGTCTTTTTCTATTTACTGTCCAATAGACATTCTTAAAGCCATCCAAAAGTACAAACATAATAATTTTCCCCCTCCTAGAAAAGGCTTTTTCTCAACAAGAGAGGGAACATCTGATCGGCAAGGTAATGTTTCCTGGCACCTGAGTTTCCTGTCCACCAGAGGCCTTGAGATGTTTCTGTTTCTTGAATAGCAGTTATCCCACTGTGGTTAGTCACAGGGCAAACATCCTTTAAAGCTGGTGGAAGCACTTTGAGATGTCGGGTGGGAGGAGACACTTGTCATTCAATGTGTGTGTGATAGAGAGAGAAAGGGAGAGGGAGAGAGAGAGAGTGTGTCACCATAGCTGCTAGAGGGCTGTGAAAATTTGTGTCCCGGGCTTTTTAGACTCATCTACCCCGTGTTTTTTTTCTAGAAAAAGTGCTGCAACTCACCATGAGCGCCTCCCTTCTTCTCATGATGGCAATGGCACCCACCTGAGAGGTGCCAGAACTGAGTTCCAGTGAGCTCTGGCTGAAAAAAGCCCTGGGCAGCTGCCATTTGCATCAGGAAGGAAGCTGAAAATAGGGGTAACTCTTCTCTATTGTTCACTTATATATATTTATTTCAGTATTTATATCAGAGCCTGGCAATAGTTTTAATAAAAGTGGTTTGGATCCTAAGATATGTTAAGGAAGCTTCCAGCACCTTCCTTCCCTCTAGATCCCACTGGACCCCTTGAAAAGTCTCTCCAGAAAGCGGGGCCCCCATCTGAGATAAACAATAAAGCTCTGTATTTAGGAGCATAAAATCCAAGGCACGGATATACCGTATTTTTCGCTCTATAAGATGCACCAGACCACAAGACACACCTAGTTTTTGGAGGAGGAAAACAAGAAAAAAAATATTCTGAATCTCAGAAGCCAGTACAGCAAGAGGGATCACTGTGCAGTGAAAGCAGCAATCCCTCTTGCTGTTCTGGCTTCTGGGATAGCTGCGCAGCCTGCATTCGCTCCATAAGATGCACACACATTTCCACTTACTTTTTAGGAGGGAAAAAGTGAGTCTTCTAGAACAAAAAATACGGTATGTTTGAGAAGGCCTAGAACAACAGGAACATTGTGTCTGGACCACAGGAAGTAATAGCTTCACACTGTTCTGTGCTGATCAGGCCACATGTGGAGTGCTGTGCCCAGTTGTGGGCACCACATTTTAAGAATGACACTGACGTAACTGCAGTGTCTCTAAAGAAGAGTGACGAGGACAGACAGGGGTCTCAGAACCAAGTAATAGAAAGAGTTGAGTATGCTTAGCCTGCAGAAAAGAAGGTTTAGGGAGAACATGATAGTGGTCTTCAAATCCAAGTTGCACGTAAGTTGCAGGTCCTCCAAGTGTCCCTATTTTCCAGCGATGTCCCTAATTTAGAGAAGTCATCCCCGTTTCTGATTTGATCCCAGAATGTCCCACTTTTCCTTAGGCTGTCCCTATTTTCATGGGAGAAATGTTGGAGGGTATGGAGTTATTTGACCTCCAAGCCCTCTGAAGGAAATTCTGTATTGGGAAGTTTTTTTTAATGTTTAATGATGTTTTTATATATGTTGCAAGCTGCCCAGAGTGCTAAGGCAACCAATAAGATGTGTGGGGTATAAATAGTAAAATTATCGTTATGGAATGGGACGTCCCTATTTTCATCAGAGAAATCTTGGAGGGTATGGAGTTGGAGCAAATTTGTTAACTGTTGCTCCACAGGCAAGAACTAGAAATGATGGACAGAAGTTTCCAGAAGCAAATTTCAGCTAAGGATTAAGAGAAGCTTCTAATGGTATGAGCTGTTCAGCAATGGAACAGACAGCCTCAGGAGATGTAGGCTCTTTTTTCTGGAGGTATTTAAGCAGAGGCTCCACAGCCACCGGGTGTCTAGGAGTGCTGCAGTTGCATCCTGCATTGTGGATACTGGACTCAGTCGGGGGCTGGACAATGACTGTCAAGGTCCTTTCAAGTTCTGTGGCCTTATGAATAGAGGGTGTGCCATAGGGGACTGCTGAGGGAAATTCCTAGATTGAACAGAGAGCTTCCTGGCCTTCCAGAGAGGATTTCAAGGGGGAAAGAAAGGGATGGGACATTTTCCCTCCTTGAATTTCCTTAACTAACTTAGGATCCAACCCTGTCTCTTCCTAGAATGGATTTATCATAGTTCTTCTGTTCCTTCCACATGCCCCTATTTCTTGGTGTTCTATATACTTGGTTATATGACAATACTTTCCATCAGTTTCCCCAGAAACATGAAACTAATTTCCAGGATCCTCCTGCCTCCCTTTTAAAAATTGCTGTTACATTGGCTACTATCCAGTCCTCAGGTGTGCCATCTGATCTGAAGGACAAGTTATATATTTTCGTTAGAAGATCAGCTACCTCATATTTGAGTTCTTTGAGAACTCTTGCGTGGATGTCATCTGGACCCAGCAATTTTTCAGTTTATATTTTCTCTGTTGATGCTACTGTATTTAAATAACTTTTTTTTGGTCGGTCCTAATATTTTTAGCAATGTGTTCCTGTTCCACAAATTCTTTTTTTAGGATCCCTTACTGTCTGCTTACCATTTTGTGGCCAAATTTTGTGTTCCTTTTCATTCCCTTCATTTGAACAGTTTAAAACCTCCTTAGATTCCACTTCTTAACCTCACTGGCACCCTCTTGGTCTTCATGTTACCTTTGCTGATCTGTGGCTTGCACTCCAGTTGAGTTTCTAATATTGTTTCTAAACAACTCCCTAGCATTTTGGAGCGATTGTTTCAGTTTCTCATTGAGCATAGGATGTTAACTATGCTATGCAATGTGACCCCTGGTGTAGCAGCTGCTAATTTTGTAAATTGTAAATTTTCTTCCCGTCCCGACTTCCAGTCCCACCTTACACAAAAAATACATCCATGTATGCAAGATAATTTATTTTTCAATTTTAAAAGCATGTTTACAAATTTCATTTGGAAAAGATCATTAAAAAATTCTGAAGGTGAGTTTGTGGAGTTCAACGAAAATCATAAGTGCCAAAAGGAGACCTATTTTATTTCATTCTTACACAGGCAAGAAGCAGTGCAGTCTTTCAGCATGTTTGGTTTCGTACATCCTTGTGACTTCACTAAGTCAGGGCAGTTAGTGAACTGATCAGTATGTTTGCAAGGGTTGGCTGAAAGTGAAAAGAAGAACACACTACCATCAGTCTGGACATTAACAAAAGCAAAACATCCCCAATAGATTCAAACTCTAGGGACGCTTTCATTTTTAGTTCATATACTGGAGCTTAAGATCAAAACTGAAGATTATACAAAAGAAAAAAGAACACTGAACATATTATTTAACAGTTGTTCTAATGGATGCAATAATTAAATGCATAAACAGTTTAGCAACCCTGACCATAACTCAGAAGAAAAGCCTTATGAGGAATGGTTGAGGGAGTTGGGTATGTTTAACCTGGAGAAGAGGAGACGGAGAGGTGATATAACAGCTAACTTCAAGTATCTGAAAGGCCGTCACATGTAAGATGGGGCAAGCGTATTTCCTCCTCCTCCAGAGGATAGAACCTGAACCGATGGAGTCAAATTACAAGAAAGGAGATTCCGAAAAACATCAGGAAGAACTTCTGACAGGAGGAGCTGTTTGACAGTGGAATGGACTCCCTTGGGAGGGGGTGGACTCTCCTTGCTTGGAGGTTCTTAAGCAGAGGTTGAGTGGCCATCTGCCCTGGCTGCTTTAGTTGAGATTCCTGCATTGCAGGAGGTTGTACTAGATGACCCTACCAACTCTGCAATCCTATGATGCTGTGAAATTGGGCAGGCTTTCATTGCCACATCTTATGAACATTATGTAGAGATCCCTACATTCACCTTAAAAATTTAAAAGGTTATTGTGACTCAGGAGGCAGAAGCCTTTCCGCAGGTGGTATGACCTCCCCACCATCAATGGAGAAGTGGTACTGCCATCAGTGCCAGTTTTGGGCAAGATTGTGTCCATTTGGGGCAAGATCTTTGGTGCTGATGGGAGCGCTGCTACTCCGCCTTTGGCAGATGCAGCAGGGTACGCAGTAGTGGCAGAAGCAATTAGGTGGTGGTGGTGGGAGTGGCGGCAAGGCAGAACTTCTCATTTCACCTCTAGTGGTGAAACGGGATGTGCTGCCCCGGCTTCCATCAAATTCAGTGGGATTTTCTTCTGTGTAACTAGGTTTGGAATATGCTGGTTTTAGCATTCAAATTTAGAATATAATTGGCGATATCCCTTCCACTCTACAAATAACCTTGTAATCTTGGGGGAACAGAGATATCTATATATCTATATAGATCTTCATAAGCAGCAGTGGATCTCTGCCTGCCCATCTCCTGCTTTCTTCCTGGCTGAACTGTCCGGGCCGAGCGTCTCTTTGGCAGTGTATTGTGCATGCAGCGCAGAAGTATCATATCTGGATGCAAGACTTCCACATCACACCAGCGCTGCTCCCAGTGCACATTGGGGCAGATCCAGAAGTAGGGCCTGTAAGCAGAAATCAGCACAGCTTTTCCTACTATCCCTTATACTAACTTGGTGACAGTTAACAGGCCCAATGAGTTCTGAATTCTAACTGAGTGCCCTTTCTAAAGAAAAGATGGAGAAGCTTTAATATTTGAAGTTATTTGTACGTACTGCATAATTTGTTGTCACAAGCATGACGGCAGTCCCCGCAAGATGGTCCAGACTTATATGGGGTTTTAAGTAAGCCTTGTATGTTCCCTCTGGAATGAGAAATGCAAAAAAGTGCACAGTTTTTTTTTATTTATTTCATGAAATTTCTATATATATATATATATTTTAAAAACCCCAAAGCAGCTCAGTCCTGGTATGCTGTAGCCGGTTGTTTGTATTCAGAGGGAGCAATCTAGTGGCGTCAGTTCAGTAATGCTGTGCTCTAGGTGCTAGTGGGAATGGAAATGAGGCTGGGATGCCTTGGCTGGAGAGTGAAGAAGTCTTGCCTGTAGAATTACTAGAAAGAATCATAGAATCATAGAGTTGGAATAGACCACAAGGGCCATCGAGTCCAACCCCCTGCCAAGCAGGAAACAGGGGCAGGACATCACATTGGGAGGGATAAAACACAACTACTTTATTTTCCTATGTGCAACCTAAGCTGCTTGCACAACACCACATCCCTGTTTCTAAACAGAGAAGGGTGACAACTCAACACCCAGAACAAGCCAATGCAAATGAACTTAATGAACACAGCATGTTGTAATTTGGATTATTCTAATGTTCTGTGGAGATTATTCTGTCCGTTGACAATCTGCTATTAACTCCCTTTATCTTGTGGACCTGCCAGTGTTATGTAATCTCTCAGGAATGTTAATAGCTGGATACCTCTTCCAAAGGGCTGGGGCTGTATCATCGGTAAAGAGAATCTCACGGGCGTTATTCACAGACTGTACCATATGTGCCCACTAGCAATGCAACAAAATATGATCAAGGGGTCCCTGTATCTCCATACACTTTTCAAGAGAATCCTTTACCCTCTTGGGTAAAACTTCCTGGGTTCTGAACTTTGAAGAATTTGGCTCTGCGTTGCTTGTCAAAGATGCCAGCCTTTGTTAAGCCCCTTGAAGAGGGCTTTGCAGCTGCCACTGGTCCGCCTAACAGAGGTGCCTGAAAATCTCTTTCAGCTGAGCCAGGTCTTTGTCTGCCCGCATCTGCTCCTATATGACATCTGGTGCAGGGCAGGCAGGTGTGGCTTGGCTTGGCTGAAATATCCTGGTGGGTCAAACAGGGAAGCCAGGTTGGAGGTTCCCAACACTGGTTTAGAGCAAACTTAATAAATATGTAAATGAATAAAAAAGAACATTCTTTTCTGAGGCACTGTGGCTCACTTAATGCTGAATATGCTGCTGGTGTGAATTGGTGGATGACGGAAGCTATGGGCACTAAGAGAGGAGGATTGCAAGGAGTGGGGGCGCTGCCTTTTGTGCCTTTTCACAGTATTAAAGCAAGGTTAAACCATAGCTAAGGGACGTGGGGGGCACTGTGGTCTAAACCACAGAACCTAGGGCTTGCCAATCAGAAGGTCGGCGGTTCGAATCCCTGCAACGGGGTGAGTTCCCGTTGCTTGGTCCCTGCTCCTGCCAACTTAGCAGTTTGAAAGCACGTCAAGTGCAAGTAGATAAATAGGTACCCCTCCAGCGGGAAGGTAAACAGAGTTTCCGTGCACTGCTCTGGTTTTGCCAGAAGCGGCTTAGTCATGCTGGCCACATGACCCGGAAGCTGTCTGCAGACAAACACCAGCTCCCTAGGCGAGTAAAGCGAGATGATCGCCGCAACCCCAGAGTCATCTGCGACTGGACTTAACGGTCAGGGGTCCCTTTACCTAAACCAAAGCTAAACTGGTGCACCAAACCTTAAAGGTACCAACTGTTCAGGAGGACTCCCAAAATAAAGTTTTCCAGAGATTGCCAGAAAATTATTTTGGGATTTTGACTCAGGCAAACACAACACAACACAACACAACACCAGCTGCTGCCACCTGATTACCCAAGGTAATAGGAATGACCTGGCTGTTTTTGTTTTCTAGCTGGCTAGCAACCATTGACATCCCGAGTTACTGCTTTACTAGTGTGCAAACTTCCTGTGGCTGTTATGAGAGTTGTTCCATTCCGTTTTTATAGTCTAATGTATTTCATATTTATGTTTAAAATGTGTTGTTAAATCCCTTGAAGACGTTGTGTAACAAACAGCTAACAAGCTCAATAAATAATTAAATAGTACATACGCAGGGCAGTAGTGGCAAAAGTAGAGGTATTTCAAGCGGTTTTGAGGGCAGTGGGCAGCATAACAACCAATTCTGTAAGACCTGTACCAAACCACCTGTAGATATAAAAACATCCACACAAGAAAATATGTTAGAATCTGTTTTCATAATGAGCCAGAAAAACATACATTTAACACCAGCATTAAAAATAAAACAACCCCTAGATTTCATCACTTTGTGTTGTTTTATTAGGAGCACCTTGAAAAGGGGGTATGACACTAAAGAAATAAACAATTTCCAAGTAACAATTCCAATAATTTTCTTCCTCTGGGAGATGCAGCTCAGAAATGTATACAGCTGTGAATGTGAATGGCATCATGGGGGTCTGAAGAAACCACAGAAAGAAAGGCACAGCAGAGATAAAGACAATCCATTATCTGAACTTCCTATGTGAAAAATATGAAAAAAGTACTGGGTGAAACACGAGGAACACAACCACCCCTTCTCACCTCCTTCTGTGAGGTCCCAGGCAGCAGCAAGCCAAGATGCAGGTGGGCTATCAGGCATGGATTGACTAGCTGAACCATGCGCTTGACAAAGATACAAAATGGTGTTTGAGTTACCTGAGTGTAATGGCCAATTACGGCCCCTGGACGGACTGCTCCAACACCGTACTTGAAATCTTTCACCTCGTTGTACCAAGCTTGAATCACGTCATTCCATGAAGTAGCGTGAGATGATGCATATATATTTTCACCGCATGAAAAGCCATCTAGAAGTGGAGACGGGAAGCATTAACAAAACTCATGATTCCTGACCTAGGAAATTCTGTAAACGAGGAGTCATGCAATGCTTCAAGGGAACATGCTGCAACAGGTAAAAGCTTGTTTATTCAAGCAGAATTTGTTCACCCGAAAAGGAGAGATTTTATTTGCCGTATGTAACCCATTTGAGCCAGTGCTTGACCAACACAGAATCTTTGCTTAATTGGGAATGATAAATCTTATAAATTCTTTGATACAGTTCTATTTGGGATACCTTTTGATGTTCCATGTTTCTTGCTTAGTGTTTAGGAGTTATCTATATCTGATTAAACTGGGAAGCATCTGTTCAGTTTTAAACTATGGGGTGAAAGGGGGGATATAAAATATGAACTGGGCACACTAATGTATAATTGCCCAGGTATTTGTCTTTATATTAAATGTTTGTTATACAAGAATATCTTTATTTCAACCAATATTATAATCCCTCTTTAGAGACAGAAGTCTTTGTTTCAGTAGGGTACATTCTTAGCTAGAAATGTTTCAGTTTAAAGTGTTGTAACAGGTAGAGAAAAATGGAACTCTACGTTGGTGGCACAATGTTATATCACACATACAGTGCATATAAATCACTTTTTCTTTACCAGTCTAGCTGAGTCCTAGATGTGGGCAGAATTTGTAGTTTACATTTGATATGGAAAACTGAGTTGCAATGAAAGGTAGAGGAAGAAAGAAGAGTCTGCATTTTGGTACAAGCAATAAATAATGAAGAATTAATTTTAACGAGTAAACTTATTCAAAGGTGTTACCAGAAAGAAACATTTGTCAGTTACTTTTAGTAAATGTTAGTAAATGTTTAGTAAATGTTTTTCATGTGGTTCTGATTCTTTGGTGACTATCCATAGGTTCACTAGAGCAAATTAAAATATTCTGAATTTAGAACCTGTCAGCGTATAAGACATTAAACATATCTATTATGCAGCCCAAAAAGGCTAATCTCAGCTGTGCTGTATAAATTGCTCAATAGCTGGCATCCTTTGATGAATTCCAAAGTAATACCTTCAGTGGAAGAAAGTGGAAGCTGAAAGGTCTTGTTTTAAAATGTTACCATTTCTGAATTGTTAGTGACTGCGAAAGATTTATTATTTTAGTGATTAACTACATACTTCCAGGATCCGGAATGAACGTGTATGAACTGCTGTGTGGTGCTTTAAAAATTGGATGCATCTAAGGTGGATGCAGCATGTATAGAGGCAAAGGTATGCTGATTTCTGAGTTTGGATGTTAGAAAGAACTCGAACATTCCTCTGTATTATTCCCTTTTTGTGGCATTCTTCCAGTGTGTTTTTTTAAAAAAATATGCTTTTTAAAAATTATGCTCAGACTGACGACTGCAAGGTTGTTGAAGGAATAAGTGAATGCTGATTGAATGTGGATTATATTATAGATCTCTCTAAAACATCTCTACAGTGCTTACTGACAGCTCTACTTGCCAGCAATTCTTTGGTCTGGTGGGCTGTGGGCAAAACGACATTTCTTTGCCACGCGTTCGGCATTTGCTCTCGCAGCAGGACTCCATTCCTAAATGAAAAAAGATGTAGCAAAGGTGAGAATGGAGGCATACTGTAAAGATGGAGAAGATAATATCTGTCTGATTGCTTGTCACCTTTCAGCTTTCTTCAAAACCTTGATGTGTATGTCCACGTGTGCATGCATGTTCCCCTTTAATGATAGTTATTTTGTGGCTGTGTCGTGGCTTGAATACATGAAGGAAAAACAGAACTGCCGTCCTTTCCCATCACTCTTTCATTCTTGGGAGCCAGTCCCAACCCAGCACTTGCCCAAGATATCTTGGCACCTGAGACAAACCACAAAATGGTGCCCCCCACTAGGAAAGAAGGGGGGGGGAATGAGGTTCTACATCAGAAAAAAATGGGGGGGGGGATAAAGACCAACATTGGGAACAAATGGGGACTGAAGAACTACATTGGGAACAAGGGAAGGAATCAAATCAGCCTTACCTGATGGTTGAGCTGGTAATCAGAGGCTCTCATGGGGGGAAAGGGGCCATCTCTGAATCATGCCAGGTGGGTGCAGAGCCCAGGAGACCCCAGAGGGCAGCCCCAGATATTTCCTCCTTAGAAGTGGGAGGAGATGAGCAGTCCCTCCTATTTGCTGAGGGGGAAGTGGCATTGGGGGGGGTACCAAGGTGGTAGCAGACCTGTCCTCTGAGGAAGGCACCACTGGTGGCAACAGTGACAGGCAGCATGTTCCTTGGAGTCAGAACTGCTGCCCCTGTGGATTCTGCTGCCTGAGGCGGTTGCCTCAGCTTGCCTCATGGGAGGGCTGGTTCTGCCCCAACCCCAACACCTGGATGATCTTAACCATAGTTTAGCATCACATCTGCCTGACTCCTGTCAGCCCTGCTTAATGGCAGTAACCATCATTCAAACCCTGATTAAGAGACTGATGCGAGTGGCACTGTGGTCTAAACCACGGAGCCTCTTGGACTTGCCGATCGGAAGGTTGGCAGTTCGAATCCCCACAACGGGGTGAGCTCCTGTTGCTCTGTCCCAGCTCCTGCCAACCTAGCAGTTTGAAAGCGTGCCAGTGCGAGTAGATGAATAGGTACCACTGCAGCGGGAAGGCAAACAGCATTTCCGTGCGCTCTGGTTTCCGTCACGGTGTTTGGTTGCACCAGAAGCAGTTTAGCCATGCTGGCCACATGACCCGGAAAGCTGTCTGTGGACAAACGCCGGTTCCCTCAGCCTAAAGCAAGATGAGCACCACACCCCATAGTCGCCTTTGACTGGACTTAACCATCCAGGGGTCCTTTACCTTTTACCTAGGAGACTGAGTTAGGCACTCTCAGCTACTACTAAGTTACTACTGAGGTAAGTGCATATTCATAGCCCACTACATGGACAAGTGGAGGAAGCGAAAGCATACATGGTTTTCCCCCCTCCTGATTGGACAAGAACATGTAGGAAGTTAAAGCAAGCAAGGGGGTGGATTATATCTGTCCAAGGGAACACAAAGCGCAGAGGTGAGAAGCGGCATCAATAGACTCTGAGCCTGCGCTATTATTACTAATGATTACTGCAACTCATTAAGCTGAACCTTGCTTGCTTAACATGAATTGGCATGACTTCCTTAAGCTGACTCTAATATCACAAGCTAAGAACCCCCAGCCAGCCAACTGAGGAGGCACAAGGGGTAGCCTGGTTACAGTCTGGTTCCCCATTTGCATTGTATTTCTGTTGAAATCATACTGATTAGTTCTAAATTTGCACTTATACCTATGAATTAGCATATGCAAATATCATGTGTCTGCTTGTCCTTTTTAAATTAAAAAATGATGTTTAAATGGCATTCCCTTGTGAAATGCAAATCTGCTTGTGAGCCTCATTCTTGAAGTGATCAAGAGCAAGTTTTCTGCCTGCAAGAAAGTGTAGTAAACATGCAAAGCACTTGCCAATGCACCCGGAACTATGAATTTCACCTCTTTCTATCTTACCATCTTCAGCATGTTGCTTGCAGTTGGCTTCACTTCTCTCCGCAGGGCATTGTGCTTGTCAAGAATTTGCTTTTGGTCACCTGGTCCAACCCCTAGTGCATGTGCCTAAAATGAGAGAGTGATTAAATTCCTCTTGCATTTATTCATAATATATTACACCAATATAATTTTAGCACTGTTTCTGTAAGAATCATGGCCATGGTGAATACATGCCATAAATGAAATCTGACATAAACAAAATCTCAGTTGTAAGCTGTTGTAAACTGTTGGGCAATGCCGTGGCATTAACTTCTCTCTGACGTACTCTGGATAAATCCACAGTTATTGAAATCAACTTCCTCCATTAAGTATGATCTTCTTAAAATTTATTGTCTTCACAGATGAAGCAGTGAAGCACATTTTGGCTAATTAAAGAGAATGTTTAGGTTGACGAAGCTCCAATCTCGTATTTGAAAACAACCCAGCTAACTTTAGTAACTTTTCATGTCCCACTGACTGAGACAGGAGAGTTAAACATCTCTCAGTATTGCTACATTACACAACGTAAAAAACAACAACACTTTACCCTTGAAGCAGGCTGTTGCAGCAGAGCAGCAAGACTCAGCAACACGATGAGCAGGATCATCTCTGAAAACAAAATAACACTGGAGATATTATCTTAGAGTTTCTGTTTAAATAAAGAGCGTACTTATTGAAACATGGTGCCACTCTTCTGAGTAGTAGTTTAAATTTCAAAATGCTCATGTGGCTCCACATGAGAAAATAGATTTGTGCCTCCTAGAACAGGGCAGGTGGCAGATCAGAACCTGCTGGAAGATCACTGGATGCAATGGCTGAATAAGGCTTGTTTAAGAGTGGCCATTTATCTTAGCAGATTTATACCACACCCTCCCAATGAATGTACAATGCTTAAAATAGCTTACAACTTACTGAAACCCACCCCCACCCCAAAATCAGGCAGTTAGAAATAATTATTGACCTGTAGTAACTTGGATGCAGATTTGTATTTACACACACTGTATTTACACATACAACGCGGGTGGCGCTGCGGTCTAAACTACTGAGCCTCTTGAGCTTGCCAATGGGAAGGTCGGCTGTTCGAATCTGTGTGACAGAGTGAGCTCCTCCAGCTCCTGCCAACCTAGCAGTTCGAAAGCAGACCGGTGCAAGTAGATAAATAGGTACCGCTGTGGCAGGAAGGTAAACGGCATTTCCATGCGCTCTGGTTTCCATCACAGTGTTCTGTTGCGCCAGAAGTGGTTGAGTCATGCTGGCCACATGACCCGGAACACCAGCTCCCTTAGCCTGAAGCTAGATGACTGGACTTAACTGTCCAGGAGTCCTTTACCTTTACCTCCCATGAGAAAGCATGACAGTAAACTTTTGTAAAACATACATTAGATACACCCCCAGCATACAGCCAATGAAGACAGATGGCTTAAGTGCAGATTCTTCAGTAGGAATTAGATCAATAAGATGCATCCTCCTGAGCAATTATTTTTATACAATTTATCTTACTTAACTCTCCTAGCAACCTTCATGTAGGTGGTTATGGGATACAGCGGGCTAACAAACACCCCCCCCCCCCGCTTAAACCTTACCTTATTATTTCAAGGAAGACTTGAAGTACCTTCTTTGTAGCTTCAAAGAGGTTATGGAAATCAGCGGGCGATGTTATGCTTATATACCTCTCCTGTTTCCTGCTTTGCAGAATGACTCAGTGTCCAACCGTAAATTACACACCTCATTGACCAGTCAGAAGTTTGAATCTGTCACATGTCTTTTTAACAATGTTTTATTTCCTGAAAAATTCCAACCAGCATCTTATGATGGATTGATATCTGTGCCTTTTCTTTATCCTGTGGCATCATTTTATCGCTGGTAGATCTAAACACATCATTGACTCAATATACATTGTAATGAGAGGAATTCACAAGTTATTGCTACTACCAAAGATGTTTCTTCCTTCCTTCTTTCTGTGTATGAAGTAATGCACTGGTGGTGTCATAATCTAGTAAACAAGGATGTACGGTAAGTGTTTTTAACCTGTTACTGCAGATGTTGAAGTGATAGGAAATCTTCTTGTTTTGAAAGTTGGACCCATTCCCTCCCTCCCCTGCTCCACTCCTTTGCTGATTCCCGCATCTATTGATGCATTGATGCCACTCAGCTGGTATTCCTGGAGATGATGTTATCACACGCCAACGGCCATTTAAATCTTCAGTATTTGCTTATGTTCAATTAGCATCACAGTGGAGATATAATTTCTGCAAATACTTCCTGTTGCATGTGCTCAGTTCTGGATTACCCAATAAGCAGACTAAGAATGTCCTTACGGAATCAGCAAAGCAGAGGCACCATAAAATAAATAATAAATGAGAGGATTTTTTTGTTGTTGAAAACTTTAATACAGTGGTACCTTGGGTTACAGACACTTCAGGTTACAGACGCTTCAGGTTACAGACTCCGCTAACCCAGAAATAGTACCTCTTCAGGATGAGAACAGATATCGCGTGGTGGTGGTGCGCCACAGCAGGAGGCCCCATTAGCTAAAGTTAAGAACAGGTTCAGGCCTAAAGTGGCTGGGAACAGAAGAGCAAAAATGTATTATCATTACAAAGTTTAACGCTACAGTGGTACCTCGGGTTAAGAACTTAATTCGTTCTGGAGGTCCGTTCTTAACCTGAAACTGTTCTTAACCTGAAGCACCACTTTAGCTAATGGGGCGATTTCTGTTCTCATCCTGAAGCAAAGTTCTTAACACGAGGTACTATTTCGGGGTTAGCGGAGTCTGTAACCTGAAGCATCTGTAACCTGAGGCACCACTGTAATTCATTTCAAGACACAATATGACAATCCAGTTGATTTGTTTTGATGATACAGACATCCATTCATTGTAAATTAAACTTACAAAATTCTGAAATAGACTTTAAAAGCAAATCACTTGATACCAGTTGGCTAATACATATAAATCTGACTCTGGTCTTATAGATATGGGTACAGCTGCCCACAAACCTGACCAGGCTGTGACAGGTGTGGAGGAGGTGTCTGAAGTTACTCCTTTCTCCTAAGATGGAGGGAACACACAGTGAAACACCTTGTTCCCCATATTGTTCTATCACCAAATGTAACCCAAGTCCAACTGTACAGTTAAACACACCCTTGTAAACCCCTCTACGGCCTTCTAACATCTTTCTGTTCTTTTTAAAATCGGAAGCATTAATCAGGGCAATCTCTTCCTGATGCAGAACTGCAGAGAGAAAGAAGCATTGAGGTGCTCATTAACATTTCAGACTCTGCCAGCAGATCACAGGGATCACACAGATACCGATCGTTGCCTCTCCTGACAGGAGCCGGCTATTGAGCCTCTTCCCATAAATGAGTCCTGGAGTTCCTGGATTGATAGTGCCAACTCTATGTCTCTTAGAAGGGAATTCCACAAGGTAGGAGGCTTAAAAAAAAATGGTTCCACTGAGAAAAGTGAGAAATTTTATGGCTACTGCCGACTTGCCTGCAGAAGACATATCAAAAGATATATTGCCTTATACTGACTGCAAAGAAGCCCAGTACTGCAAGAAAATTATGAAAAAACAAGCCAATGGCAGTGCGATAGGAACAGCACTGCACTTCAAAGACAAATTTCTGATATCTATGCTGTAATTGAAGTTGAAGCTAATATGAAGAGGAGAGGTGAAGAAGCACCAGGTAGATTTTCTTTTCTAAACTATATGCACAATATATGAACAATATGAACAATATATTCTCACAATGATGCAATATGGAATGATGGAACACAGTGTGTATTTCCAAGTGTGCATCGTATTGTGTACAATGTATTTTTCTAACAAGTGCTCTGCCCCTTTTCTCAGCTAAACAGAATAAAAAACTCTCAGGACGGACTTGATTCCCTTTCTGTACTGTGTAGGGAAGCAGGCATGCAGCGGCGGAGCAAGCGGATCGGGTTCTTGGGGCAGTGGGCGGGGCCAGCTGCCTGTGGGGCGAGCCGGGGCAGCACGCTCCGCGGGGCCTCCAAGGAGAAGAGTTTGGATTTGGTACCCCATTTTATCACTACCTTAGGGAGTCTCAAAGTGGCTCACAATCTCCTTTCCCTTCCTCCCCCACAAAAAAACACTCTGTGAGGTGAGTGAGGCTGAGAGACTTCAGAGAAGTGTGACTAGTCCAAGGTCACCCAGCAGCTGCATGTGGAGGAGCAGAGACGCGAACCCGGTTCACCAGATTATGAGTCCACCGCTCCTCCCACTCAGTCGTCCTACAGCTGGGGGGAGGGAGGCTGCGGGAGGACCATTTAGGCAGCGTGGAGCCTGCGTGCGCCTAAGCCACCGTGTCTCTCCCAGGAGACACGTGTGGCTCGGGTGCACTGCAGGCCCTGCGTTGAGTGCCGCCCAGCATTTTGTCACCCTGTCCCCAAGTGGTGGTCTGCCCCCACCGCACCCCCTTCCTCCGCCATTGCAGACATGCTTCATCAAGTCAGCTTCGATGAATTCATCCAGAATTTTGCAATCAGAAAATCTAGACAGAAAAGTGATTTTAATTTCAGCACACATGTAAGTTTCATGTCATTTGAAAAATATTATTTTATTTTATGGTTTCGTATTGCTTTTTTAAAAATCACATACAGGGTTGCTTAGGGCTTCTGTAGGTCTTAATCCAGCCCTTCCTGCACTTCTGTAACCTATTTAGGTAGAACATGACAATGGGGAAGCAAAAAACAGTAAGTAATATTGTAAGTAATTTCTTGATTTCTACAAGCTGTAATGCTCAAAATCAAACATACGGCTAGAACAAGCTATATCTTGAACGCTTCTTGATAAGTTGTTGGCACAGGGCCAATAATATGTCATTTATACCTCACTTACTAGACTGAAGTTTTGCCTCTTGTTTTGGTTTTCTAACACAATATGCTTCAATATTTTGGCCACCTCATGAGAAGAGAAGACTCCCTGGAAAAGACCCTGATGTTGGGAAAGATTGAGGGCACAAGGAGAAGGGGACAACAGAGGACGAGATGGTTGGACAGTGTTCTTGAAGCTACAAACATGAGTCTGATCAAACTGCGGGAGGCAGTGGACGACAGAAGTGCCTGGCGTGCTCTGGTCCATGGGGTCACGAAGAGTCGGACACGACTAAACGACTAAACAACAACAACAACACAATATGGGTTGGTTTGGGAAATAGTGAGAAGATTGGGCTGGGCTCCAATACTATGCCTGTCCTATGGAGTCAGGGGTCTGGAGGGTGGTCTCATTTCTGCATTGGTAGGCTTTCTTTCATCCACTTCTCTTTGAAAAGAAGAGCAATCCTTCCCACTTAAAAATCAGCGGTCAGGGTGTAGAATGAGGATTTATTGCTCAATTAAAGTACAATCATGGCCTTATATGCATATTAAATTCTTAGATGGTTAAGTCCACAAACCCATTGTCCATGAACTGGCCTATTGCAAACTGAGTCTGAGTGGTCCCATTGTGTTAATTCTGGCTATGAAAAATATTAGTCGTCTCCATAAATATATTTCTAAAAAAGAACACTTCCAAGTGTTCTTACAACTGAGGACCAGTGAAGGTGCATTCCAATCTTGTGAATGGTTCAGCCTACAATATATGCTCAGGTTGCTATGACTAAAAGATTTTGTTAAAAGCAACCTATGTTTGGAACATTAAAAACATTGGTCTCTTCTCCCCGCCTCATAATATAAGAGGAAACTTTGTCTAGGACTGCCTCCACTGATTGCAATTAATTATATTAAAGAGATTGTGAAACATTGTTGGTTACTTTGTCATTATGGAAACAATATGGGCTGCTTGAATTAGCTAATAAATGAAAAGGCATCAAAAACATATTGGGAAATCAGAAATGAAACAGCAATCCCCAAGTAACCTCCCCCATATTTGCAAACAAAAAAAAAATATAGCCTTCAGATTATTTCAAAAACAGGGACAAATCTGGTGGAAAAACACCACTGAAACCTTAATGATTCAGGATCATAAGAATTTACTTAGTAGGTTGGGCCTAGGTGGAAGTCAGATGTGTTTGGGGCATTAAAGTGTGCCCAGCAACTGTGGTTTCCTCATGGCTCCTGCTCCAAGGGTTATCATAATCCATGGAGATGGGTTGGCAGCTGCAGAAGCTGGGGTGAGTGGCAGGTGTGGTGGCCTCATCAAGATCACCATGGTGTATGGCCTCTGGGAGCTGGGTGGGCATCCTGGCCAGCTTCCCCCACAACAATGTGCTGTTTACAGCCCCCTTTGAGGCAGCAGGGTTCAGTGGTTGCAGGCTGTGTAGGGGTTTCTCCTGGGTTCCCTACATTCCCCTTCTCCTCCCCCTATTGTGCAGCCCATCAGGGGGCAGTTTTCAGTCCTCCCTGCTCCATTCCAGGAATGCAGGTTTTTCTGTGGTGAAGGGGGGTAATTTTATCATACACACCCATTTTCTCTTTGGGGCAGGTTACTGTTAATGTTTGGGGCTCCTGTCAACATTTTATAGCCTTTGACAGGCTAAGAAGTTCCATAAATTATGATGGAAGGTAGATGCTGTGTGACTTTCCCATAGCCTCTTAAGTTCCTCCCTTGCCCATTTGTTCTTGAGGGTTATTGTGTGCCCTAGTACTTTGCATGCTTCATACTCTCAGGGAAGAAGGCTTATACCACTAGCTCCCTCCATACATCTCTCAGTTGTTTTATTGGAGCTACAGGAATTCCCCTACCAGTCAGTTGTTATACACCTACACTTTACAGGGATGCATACATACTGTACATGGTTACATGCACTACAAGTCTTCCAATGGGGGCTGTGTGATGACAACCTTACATTTTTATGTATATAGGAAGAAAGGCAGCACACTTGGACAGTGAATGAAATAGTATGGACACAGAGGAAAGTGCTTAAACAAACACACTCCAGTATACAGTTAGATTGTCCTCCTCTGGGCAGTGTCAGGCTAGCAGCAGGTACAATAAGTTTGTTTGATTTATTCTGCTGACCTGGGAGCCCCTTACCTTCTTGAGTCCCTAGTGGGACTTGGATAGTTGTTGCTAAGGGTGCTCAGCACCTGCTGCCATCTGATAAAATATCACCTTCATGTTTTGGCTTTCTAAATTTATAGATGCTTGGATTATCTTTCAAGTCAGTGAAGCCAGGGCTGAAGGCACTTCCCCAGACAGTGGTCACCCTATTTGATGCAAGTCTTAGGAACCCCTGCCTGGATTTACCACGCGTCACTTCCAGCGGGTGGGCCGGAAGTATTTAGATTGCCCCATGCCCAAGCCAAACCTCTTTCATCTGTATTCAATAAAACTGTGGCCTGTTTTGACCCCAAAACCAGTCATATTTGTCTCTTATTTATATGGGCTGGGGAGCCCGACGCCTGGTCCCACAAGAGTCAGGGCCCCCCTCTTGTTTCTGGGCCCTTCTCTCTCCAACAACTCTAAATATACCTGCTTAGGGATCTTTCCTGTTTAGAGTAGCTGGCCCTCCAATATCTCACTGATGAAAATGGGTTACCAGTGTTATGCTCCCACAAAGGAACCAAATAAAACTAATGCCAATTCTTGTTTTTGTACTGCTTCACTGGGCTACAGCATCACGCCAGAGCCTTTTCTTGCCCGTTGCTGGGGAAAAGTTCAATACAAATGTGGGTCCGTGTGTGTGTGTGTGTGTATAAATACATAAATAATGTGATGTGAAGAAACTCATGACAAAGCCAAGAAAGCAAACATTTCCTCACCCTCTGTACTTTGGTTGCTACGTTCCACTCTTGGTACACAAGCCAGTTCGCAGACCTTGATAAACTGCAACAAAATGCTCTGATCACGTGCAGTCTCACATTCTAAACTCAATTAACTCATCAATTTTTATTCTCTTCCTGGCTTGAGAATTTTCACCTGTGTTATGTCAGGGTGGGCCCAGGTGTAGCAGCTGCTTATGCTGTGTTGATTTCATTTCGTTTGTCCACCTTCCATTCACATTTAATCAGCCTTACATTGTGTCCTTCTTGGGATCTTTTGCATCTCTGTGTCTGTTATTTTTCCTGCGACTGTAAGACCCTACTCCCAACTTCCATTCCTCCCCATTAGGCAAAAAGAAAGAATGAAAACATCCATGCATGCAAGACTTTTTATGAGTTTTCCGATTCAAAGACAAATTAACAAATTTCATTTGGATGGGATTTGTCAGAAGATGCTAGAGGATGAAATTAAATGAGAATGCAGAGTTCAACGAAGATCATGTAGGGGGACCCCTTATTTTATTTCAGTAGGACAATAGCAAGAAGCAGCACACTCATTCGCAAGGCTGCCCTTGCACCCTTGCGATTGCACTGCCTCGTCACAGTTGCTGTACTTATTATCATGTTTGCAAGGATTGGCTGAAAATGAAAAAGGACAAGAACACATCAGAGTTAACAAAAGCAAAATGCCCCTGTGATTCAAACTCAAGAGATGCTTTCATTTTTAGTTGCTATAGTGGAGGTGATTTACAAGTAAAAGGCCCCCACTTAAAACATTATTTAGCAGTTGTTTTAATGAATGTAGGAACTGAATTAGTAATTAGTTTAGCAATCCTGGCTGTAACCCAGAATAAATTGGACATGTTTTTAAGGGTGGATGTGCAGGTCATGAGAACATTTACATAGACATCCTGCAACCACCTACAGAATAAGGAAGGTTATGGGGTCTACAATTTTATGCACATCTACTCAGGAATAAGCTTCCATCAAATTTACTGGGATCCATTCTTATTAAGTGCCCTTTCTAAAGTACAAAAAGGCATTATGATAATATTTGAAGTTATTTCTACTCACTGCATAATCCATTGTCGCATGAGCCAGGGCAGTCCCCACAAGGTGATCCAGATTTATATGGGGTTTGAAGTGATCCTACTACGTTCCCTCTGGAATGATGAAAGTGAAGGAGTAAACAAGGATATATTTGACTAGAATGATCGTATAATCTCAGTAAATGATTTTCTTAATTAGAAAAGTTCTATTCCATTTATTTAATCAATGAACTTATAGCACAAATATTGTGCAATGTGAGGAGTAGGGCTGTGAACTGGTTTCAGCCAAAGCCTTCAGCCTGAATCGAATTAAGGTGAATTCAGGTAGACCTGGGCTTTGGATGAGTTGGGTGGAGACAGCACTGATAGGATCGCCCTCCCAGAGTGTTTGGGCTGTCAGGAGAAGCGACATTGTGTGGGAAGAAGGAACTTTGGCCGCACTCCTCTTCCCAGCAGGGGAACATAGCCAGGTGGTCAAACTGAGCAGGAGTGAACACTTCTGTGCCTGCGGTGCAGCTGCAGGAGTGGGGTGTGGGGAGAGGAGGAGATGCAGTATCTTCTTTGCCTCCCAAATATATGTTCAATCAGGCCTATTACTATGAGTTGTTCTATTCAAGTCCAGGAAAATGTAGACCGGCCAACTAACTCTTCAAATGACAAAATCCAGCACCTGGCGGGGCTTGAATGTCTGGGAGCAAGGCTAATTAGGTCTCTGGGTTGGTGGTTCCCACACCTAGTTTACAAAAAGCTTAAAAATGAGAACATTCTTTTCCGAGGCACTGTGGCTCACTTAATGTCGACTATGCTGCAGGTGCGTATTGGTGGATGACAGAAGCCATGGGCACTAAGAGAGGAGGGCTGCAAGGAGTGGGAGCACAGCCCTTTGCTTCCTTCAGCAACAATATGAAGGTAAGGTTAAACTGGATTCACCGGTGCACCAAACCGTAATGGGTGGTGGAATTAGGGAGGGCCTGTCACTGAATATTCACCGGAGGAGGAGTGAAAATCTCCAGCTGTTCAGAGGAACCAATAAATAAATAAAGTTTTCCATAGATTGCCAGAAAATTATTTTCTGAGGGGTTTTGACTCAGCCCTTTAAAAAAAATCCACTGTTGTTTCCTGATTTCCTGGCAAATGGCTCAAAGCTAAGAGGAACGACCTGGCTGTTTTTGTTTTCTAGTTGGTTGGCAACCATTGAAATGCAGAGTTAATACATTACTAGTGTGTTGCCCATGCATCCTGTGGTTCTTAATGAAGTTGTTTTTATAGTATAATGCCTTTTTATTTGTGCTTTAAATGTGTTGTAAGTCCCTTAGAGACCTTGGGTAAGAAATGACTAATAGGTTTAATGACAGACTGACTGAATGATACATACGCAGGGCAGTACTGGCAAACGTAGTAGTATTTTAGGGAATTTTGAGGGCACTGGTTCACAGAGCAACCGACTTTGTAAGACCTGTACCAAACCACCTGTAGATATAAAAACATCCACACAAGAAAAACAGTTAGAATCTAACTGTTTTGAGCCAGGAAAACATTCACCTGACAATACCATTTAAACTCCCCCCGCAAAAATAAATCAATCACCACTTTGAGTTGTGTATAATTAGGAGCACCTTGAAAAGGAGTACGATACTAAAGAAATAAACAATTTCCAGATAACAATTTCAATCATTTTCTTCCTCTGGCAGTAGCAGCTCAGAAATAGCTCATTTGGTAGATCATGAGACTCTTAATCTCAGGGTTGTGGGTTCAAGCCTCACATTGGGCAAAATTTCAGGGGATTAGACTAGTGGCCAACTCCCAAGAGACTGTGATCAACTCACAGAGTTAAAAACTGGCAGTGATCTACCCCCCTTTTTGGGGTTCAAGTCAAAGTTCTTGAGCTTTTTCTAGAAGAGCCAAAGTTGTTGAGCTTCTGGGGGGAACAGTGATCTACCAGTGATCTAACACAAACATCCTGTGATCTACTGGTGGGTCATGATCTATCTGTTGGACGTGCCTGGACTAGATGACCGCCGTGGTCCCTTCCTACTCTACAGTTCTGTGAGTCTATGATTCTATATACAGCTGTGAATAGGAATGGCCTCATGGGTGCCTGAAGAACCCTCAGAAGCAAAGGTGTAGGAGAGAGAACGATGATCCTTCCTGTGTGAAAACTATGAATAGGAATATGTGAGAGAGGCCGCCCCTGCCCAAAGTGACCCACCAAACCAAAAGCAGTCTACCTGCCATGTGATGGTGGCACAAGAACCTTCCTGTTGGTGGCACAAGAACCTTCCTTGGTTTCTTTATCTTTTCTTTTGCACAGTCCCAGAAGTGTAGTGGGAGAGCTGAAAATAATGCCAATATATTTCACATCTGGCAACCAACACACCCTTTGGCTTCAGATAGTACATGCGTAGACTGTACAGGGCGCCTCTCAGGTGCTATTCTAAGGGAGGTGTTCATGGTGAGTTCCAGCACCTCTCTTTCCAGAAAAATAGCACTACTACAGACGAGTCTAAAAAGCCCAGGACACAAATTTTCACAGCCCACCAGCAACTATGGTGGCTCATTTACCAGAACTAATGCATTTAGTGTTAATTCTGAAGTCTATAGTTGATTCTGACCAAATTAAGCCCCTAGGAACCACTATAGCTGCCAGAGGGCCATGAAAATTTGTATCCCAGACATTTTAGATTTGTCTAAATATGGATTTCTTTTTTCCAGCTCTCCTACCCCACTACAGGCAGCAGCAAGCCAAGATGCAAGAGGGCTGTCAGACATGGATTGACTAGATGAACCATGCACTTGACAAAGATACAAAACGGTGTTTGAGTTACCTGGGTATAATGGCCAACTTTGGCTCCTGCAGGGACCGCTCCAACACCGTACTGAAAATCTTTCACCTCGTTGTACCACTCTTGAATTACTTTAGACCATGGCATAGGGCCACTTGACATGAGCAAATTTTCACCACATGGGAATCCCTCTAGAAGTGGAGACGGTTAACATTAAGAAAAGTCATGATTAGTGATTCGGGGAATTCTATAAACAAGGGGAGCTCTTCAATGCTTTGGAGAAACATGCTACAACCGGTAAAACTTGCTTATTCCAAGCAGGATTTGTCGTCCCCCCCCCCCCCCCGCAGATCTGTCTGCTTAAGTAAATCTGTATACATTTGTATGTACAACAATAGTTCCAAAGCAAAAGGTATAGTGCGCTCTCTCTCTCTCTTCACCCCCATAACAGAGTATTTCAACAATTCAAGAAAGGGAGTAAACAACTGAGCATATTCCTATTATTCCTATTATTTATTAAATATGTTAGTTGCTTTATCTTACCCACTTCCAACCAACCAACCAACCAGACAGCCACACAGCTCCCACCCCACCATGACACTAGCTAAACCATAAAACGAAGATGAAAAAGAAATACATTAAAAAATCCCACCCATTTCTAAAAGGCCATAGATAGTTAAAGGCCAATTATAGTTAAAGAGGGAGGCGTTGGGGAGTAGAAATGTTAACCATTATTAGTAGCAGTGCTGTATTCCTGCTATTATTAGCATTCCTGTTATTGTTTTTAAGTGTGTAATAGCTTCTTGCTAAACACAATAAACCAAACTGACTGATAGCGCTAAGGTTATAGAGGAAAGTTTTTGCCTGGCTCCTAAAGATATATAATGGTGGTTCCAGTTGAGCCTCTCTGCGTAGAGCAGTCCGCAAAATGGGGAGCCACTGCAGAAAAGGCCTAATCTCGAATTTACACCATCTAGACCTTTCATGGTGTGACACATGAAGAAGTGTCTCAAATGATGATCACAGGTATATAAAGAAAAATAAAGATATAGAGAAAAATATTAAAGAAACTTGTGCAAAAGAAGCAACACTGTACAGCAGTTTACCAAGATAAGGGAAAATGGCCGATCAAAAGCCTCATAATCAAGAACAGCACAATATGAAAACACGTTTGCCGTCAGTTACTAAATAAGTTACATAAATCAACAGAGAGCCACAAAGTCCACTTCCCCTCTGAGAACCTGGAGTTGGTGGGTCAGTTTCTTTGATGTGGCCATAAATAATGCTTTAAAAAAACAGATCATAATAGAGTATGTGGAAGCAGGGCTTTTTTCCAGCTGGAACTCAAGTGAGTCCCATTACCATTCTCAGAGAATGAGGGAGTATGCATCATTGGTGTAAAACAGTGGTGTCCAAACTTTTTTCAAAGAGGGCCAGATTTGATGAAGTGAAGGGCCGTGAGGGCTGTCCAAAGGGCCGTCCAAAGTTGTTGAGGTTTTTTGGGGATTTCCCCCCAGAAATAAACTGCTACAGGGGCTGGATTAAACTGACCAGCGGGCCAGATTAGGCCCCTGAAACGGACTTTGGACACGCGTGGTGTAAAGTGTGTGTACAGACAAACAGTGGCGGAGCATATGCCAGTGCTGCTCAGGGCGGGGCGCACTCCTGAGGGGTGCGGAGGGTGCCCTCCCAGGCGCAGGATAGCCACTCGGGCGCACCCTGCAGCCGAGGGTGGAGCGAGTCGCCAATGGCGGACATTCAGTGCGCAGCCTGCCTGCGACTCCCAAGTCTCCCTCGAGCTGTCGAAACAAAGGGGAAGGGAGAAATGATAATGGCAAAGTGGCGCAGCTCCCCCTCCCCCCTACGGCTCGGGCTAGGCTTGGGAGTTGCGGGCGGATGGCGTGCCAAATGTCACCCCCCTCAGCGAAGACACCACACCCAGGGTGGTCCGCCCCCACCACACACCCCTTCCTCCACTCCTGCAGACAAAGCTTAGCTGGTCAGAACTGAGTGTGGGACCTCAAACTTTTGAAAGAACCAGAACATTCCACCATTCCTCTTTTAGTGGCATTCCTCCAGTATTTTCAGTATTATCTGCAGAATGACAATTGCAGGGTTGCTGAAGAGTTAGTGAATGGTGACTAAATGCGGATTCTATTTCAGATCTCTAAATTATTTCTACAATGCTTAGTGAAAGCTCTACTTGCCAGCAGCTCTTTGCTCTGGTGGGCTGTGTTGATATTGACATCTACTTGCCCAGCTTTTGGCATTTGCTTCTGCAGCTCCACTCCATTCCTATAAGAAAAAAATATGTATTAAACATGAGACTGGATGCAAAATGTAAAAATGGAGAGGCTCATATTTGCCTGATCATTTTCACCCTTCAGCTCTCTTAAAAAACTTGTGTGTCTTTTTAATGATAGTTCTTCTCAGGCTATGTCATGGTTTGAATACATGAAGCAAAATCAAAGTGTGCAGTCTTTTCCCTCTTGGGCTTAGTATTACATCTGCCTGACTCATGTCAGTCATGGTTAATGGCAACAGCCAGCTTTCAGAGATGCTGAGTCAGGTGCTCTCAGATACTACCTGGGTTGTGGGCACGTTTTTGTTTATTCTTCCTGACCCATGCCAACCATACGTAACAGTAGTTACCAGGGTCCGTAAACCACTTCAAACCAAGGTTAAAATGCTGAATTAGGTGCTCTTAGCTACTACTTAGCTTCTCAGAAAAATGCATATTCATTGTCTATATAGTGGACAATGAATGCTTTTAGTCGTATATATGAATTAAATAAGTTAATGTTATTGTGTATTTTAATTATAGATTGGGTTTATAGTTGCAAATCATGTAGTAGCCACTAGGGAATATAAATTAATAAATAATAAAAGATATGTATAAACTAGCGCATGCAATTTTCTGCCAGCCAGAAAGCGTAGTAAAACTTTAAAACACTTACCATCTTCAGCATGTTGCTTGCTGGTGGCTGCACTCCTCTCCGCAGGGCATTGTGCTTGTCAATAATTTCCTGTCGCTCACCTGGTCCAACCCCTTGTGCATGTGCCTAAAGTGAGAGAGTGAGTATTTTTTCCTTGTATTTATTTATATGATTATATTTTTCATTACACCAATGTAATTTTAGCATACTTTCACTAAGAATCATGGACATGGTTAAAAAGTGTGCACTTGCTTCTGTCAGGCTCTTCTGTCATAAATGAAACATCAGTTGTAAACTAAAATTGAAGGGATGTATTTTAAGTGTTCTGACCATTTATTTTTTTTTGGTTTGGATTTGATATCCCGCCTTTCACTCCCTTTAAGGAGTCTTAGAGCGGCTAACATTCTCCTTTCCCTTCCTCCCCCACAACAAACACTCTGTGAGGTGAGTGGGGCTGAGAGACTTCAGAGAAGTGTGACTGGCCCAAGGTCACCCAGCAGCTGCATGTGGAGGTTCACCAGATTACGAGACTACCGCTCTTAACCACTACACTACACTGGCTCCATGGAGCAGATCAACAGGTCCTCCAGTTGATGCAGAGGCGTCAAGATGTCTCTGGACTCCTCTGGATAAATCCACAGCTACTGAAAACTATGAGAAACTTAGCATTACTTTTAGTGGGATATGTAACTGGACCATCCTTCCATCATGTTTTAAGGTTAACCCAAGTTAATTCCATTTGTTTGGACTTCCTGTTAAGTATGATCTTTTTTCACTTCAATGTGTTTATGGATGAAGCAGTCAAAAGCATTTTGGCTTATTAAAGTGGGGGTTTAGTTGGCCCAACTAAATCTTGCATTTGAAAACAATCCAGCTAACTTTAGTAACTTTTCATGTCCCACTGACTGAGACTGTTTAGCATCTCCCAGTATTGCTACACTACACAACGTAAACAACTTACTCTTGAAGCAGGCTGTTGCAGCAGAGCAGCAAGACTCAGCAACACGATGTGCAGGATCATCTATGAAAACAAAATAACACTGGAGAGATTATCTTAGAGTTTCTGTTTAGATAAAGAGCGTACTTATTGAAACATGGTGCCATTCTTCTGAGTAGTAGTTTAAATTTCAAATTGCTCATGTGGCACTAGTTGTGACTTGTACCTCCTGGAATAGGAGTGCCACAGGCAAGTGTCTCTGATCCAGAGTCACCATTTTGCATCTGATTCCACCCCACTAAACTATTTTGCTTCTGTCTCTGGTTAGTGGACATAGTGGCTGCACTGGAAAACACCACCTGAGCCCTTCAAATTTCCTTTATTATGCAGCCATCCTTTCCTTTCTTTTCCCCTGCAGTTCACTGAATTGCCCCTCAATTTGCTCTGGAGGGGCTCCCATCACCCTGGAACGGATTCTGTGAGTAAGTATGGGGCTGCAGCAGGAGGAGAAGAAAGTGAACTTCCATTGTTTAAATCTGTTGTGCAACAGAAATCTCTTCCAGTACATGCTAAAATTCACAGGTGGTACAATCACAGGTTCTCAACTAGGTCCTTTCAGCCACACTGATATTGTGCTGGCAGCTGATTAATGGCCTGTTTCTGTGCGCTGCTCTGGTTTCGGTGTTCTGTTGCACCAGAAGTGGCTTAGTCATGCTGGCCACCTGACCCGGAAAAACTGTCTGCGGACAAATGTCAGCTCCCTCGGCCTGTGAAGCGAGATGAGCACCACAACCCCAGAGTCATTCGCGACTGGACGTAACTATAAGGGATCGTTTACCTTTTACATACCCGGGATCCGGCTGTCAGGAACAGTGCCCGGGAGCAAATCGCTCAACAACTTTGCCCCCTCCCCCCACACAGCTCAGCAACTTTGCCTAAAAGAGCTCAACAGCTTTTGTGTTTGGATTTTCATGAAATATGATAACCCTAGTACGTTTTATGAAATAAGTACATAAATAATAGAAATTTGATCAAAAAGTTGTATCCTCCTGAGATAACCTAAATTGTTTAACTCTGCTAATATACTTCATATAGCAGACTATGGGATATAGCAGACTATGGTATAAAACTGGCACCCTCCCTCCCAAAATCTTACCTTCCTCCTTGTTTCTAGTAAGACTGGAATAACCTTCTTTGTAGATTTAAGTTGGTTCTGGATGTCACTGGATGATGTTATGCTTATATACCACTCCTGTTTCCTTCTCTGCAGAATGACTCAATGTCCAACAGTAAATCACACAATTTTGACCGGGGGAACTTTGGATTTCTCTTACGTTGTTTAAAAAAATATTGTTTCCTAAAATTTATTAACCATCTTCTATGCAACAACAAAGCATCTCTTATTAGTGAGCTCTTTCATGCCTGCCAACTTCTTATGAAGGATTGATATCTGTACTTGTTCTTTATCCTATGGCGGGGTCAGCAAGGTTTACCTCACCTGGGCCAGTTCACTCCAGTGGAGATCCCTCCGTGGGCCGGATTGTGTGTGTGTGTGCGCCTGCCCACGATGTCTGTTGCCTGTGCCTGCGCAGACGCAATTTTCGGTGCTGCAGAAGCGAGTGCCCGTGCTGCGCTGCACTGGTTTAGCGCAGCACGTGGGGACTCACTGAGCTGGTGGCTCAGTTCGGGGACAGCTCGGGGGCCGGTTAAACAACCCCCATGGGCCGCCTGTAGCCCATGGGACTTAGGTTGCTGACCCCTGTCCTATGGCATCATTTCATCACCCATAGAGCTAAGCACATTTACTTAGAAGCAAGTCCCATTTCCCCCCAAAGCAGAATGCATTTGCAGCTGCAGCCTAAGACTCTAAACCAACTGCAAACCATCATGAATGGTTGAAGGCACTGAGTCATTACAGATTGCACAGATTGCGGTATGTGACCACAAGCTGTCTAGAAAACCCAATGTATCAACACCCCATTTCATTTGCATAGGTTACAAAAGTTAAGGGGTGTGGCTGCCTTTACTCTTGATTTAGAAGATCTGAGGATTTTTAATGTTGGATGTGTTAACATTCATGGATAAATGCTTTTTAGGTAGCATTGCATAATAATGGCTACCATTTCTTTTGATACAAAATTGTGTGCTTCCTATAACAGACAAATTTTCTTGAAAAGCTAAGAAAACTCTATAAATAACTAGTGCTTTTTTCCTTTAAAAATGTTTAGGGGACTCTCATTTTCCTACTTATATCGAAATACTGCCCTTCAAAGAAACCAGGCTTAAATTCACAAAATGTTTAGGGGTACGCATACCCCTGCCCCCCCCCCCCCCCGGAAAAGCACTGTAAATAACTAAATATGAACTGTTCTTTTCAGGGATGCAGATTAACCATAAAATTCTGCTGCTATCTGTAAAGGTTGCTAACAGCCTGGAATCACACATTTTTTTTCAAGAGGAAATGAGACAACAATTAACGCATCAAATATTAATGGTTTTCTGTCAAAATATGCTAAAACATTTGCCACAGGATTAATACAGAACTGCCAATTGAATCTCCCCTTCGCCCACGATATGATTTGAAGACATTCTTTGTACTTGAGGGAGGAAGAGGAGGATAAAATGTGATTAGATCACAGGAGCATCATGATGGTGGGCAAATGTCATTTCATGTATTTTTTTCAGTACCTGAAAGTTCAGTGTGGATACTAATCACTATGATGAACATGATGATTATTTTAAGTACTTTATTATGGTCATAGACCAGCATAAGCAAAACATCTAAATAAATAGCATAACAGTATGAATCTAAATGAATAATTATTAAATAAATCTGAGCAAGAACCGAACGTAGATTTAAACAAATACATAGAATACTTAATTAAGCAAAGATAATGGGTGTGTAAAAGTGTATAAGAAAAATTAAAAGATCAGTTTACAGTTATATGGGATGGGCTTCAGAAGTGAGGATCTAACAATATGGGCCTTCAGTTTAGGATTTAATTGTAGCATAGACCATTCTTCATTGAATAATCATTATTACCTGTGTGTCTAGAAAAATGTGCAATTCTTTACATTACCTTTTGACATGGTTTTCTTCTGAAATAATAATTGTCTCTATTCCCCAGCACTCCTACGACATGCAGAAATTAGTTTTATTGCCTATTTCCAGGCATGAATGTACGGTTTCAGTGCTAAGCACCAATTTGAGAGTAAGCCACAATGAGCATAGCGGATCTTGCTTCTCAGTCACAATTGTTTGCATAGGTTGCAGTCCTGGGACTCTCCAGAGCAGTTTCTCCTATGTCTGTCTGATATTTCCTGGTCTGTCACCACACATTAAACTAGCTGGTTTGGTTGTTTCTTTAATGGCATCATTGGTCCCTGGTGCCTGCTAATTATATTGGAAGTAAAGCTCCCATTTGAGCCAATGGAAACAGGTGTCAGTCGCCCAGTCTGGATCAGGACTGTAGCAAGGGAAGGGTTAAGGCCCTCCTGATAATAGTTGGACTCTGCCTGCTATTGACTACTTGCACTATTTATGCACTGCTGAAGTGATAGGAAATGTTCTGGTGTCCCTCATTTGCTGATAACTTGGCAGCTTGTATCTCTTTATGCAGTGATGCCACACAGCTGATCTTTCCAGAGGTGATGTTGATGATGGCATACTGAGTGGCATTCCAGCATTCAGTGATTGCTTCTGTCCACTTAGCATCCTGACATAATTGCTGCACATACGTTCTTCTGCATGTGCTTCTGGAATCTGCTGAACCAGAGTAGGGATTCATGGGAGCATGAGGATGTATCAGGAAAAGCAAAATACAGTGACTTATACTGTGTTACATGTCCTTTCTAGATTGTGACAAGTCATAATGTTCAAAACTGAATGTTCCTATTCAAATGTTCTTCTAGAACAAGGGATGCCATGACTTTCTTTGTGCTGGAATATTTTTTTTAAAGCATTGAGCCAATAATATGATGTAATACGTTTTCATATCTCACATATTATCTTAAGGTTTGGCCTCTCATTCTGGTTTTCTTACACAAGATGCATTGGTGTGGGAAATGGGAGTAGGCTCAAATACTTCATCAGTGTGATGGAGTCATGGCTCTGGTTGGTGGTCTCATTGCCCATAGACCTTCATCCTTCCCTCCTTCAGAAGAATAACCCTGGCCACTGACAAGTGAGTGGGGAAATGGAGGTTATTGCACAGGTGAAGTACAATTGTGGCCTTGTGTGCATATTATATCCCTGGATGGGTGAGTCTATGAACCAGCCCATTGTCCGTGAACTAGCCCATTGTGATCTGAGTCCACATAGTGGTGCATTGTGTTACTTTTGGTTATGACAGATATTAGCAATGAACTTTTCAGTGCAAATTAAGTTGTTCCCATAAATACCATGTTTCTAAGAAGGGCTCTTCCCAATGTTCTATATCTTGAATTCAGGGTTACTTAAGGTGATTTTCCACCATTAATTGATTATTTAAATGCATCTTAAAGCAGATATCCATACGTATCCCAGTCTTGTGAGTGGTCCAGCCTTCAATACGTGTCTTACCTGAAAGATTTTAGAACAGCTGTATTTGGAAAGTTAAACCAAGATCTCTTCTTTTCTTAGTGGGATTTCAGCTTGGATGAATATTTTCTAGCTTGCCCACCAGAGTGGCAACTCAGTTTGGGTGGAAAGTAGAAAAGAAGAGGAGGAGTTTGGATTTGATATCCTGCTTTATCATTACCCTAGGGAGTCTCAAAGCAGCTAACAATCTCCTTCCCTTCCTCCCCCACAACAAACACTCTGTAAGGTGAGTGAGGTGGAGAGACTTCAGAGAAGTGTGACTGGCCCAAGGTCACCCAGCAGCTTCATGTGGAGGAGCAGGGATGCGAACCCGGTTCACCAGATTACAAGTCTACCGCTCCTAACCACTACACCACACTGGTAATGTGTTATAAAATGATTCTAAGCCTCTCACTCCCTCTGGGAACAAGTGGTCCTGGGGTCATATTGGCAGACCCACACTGGATTTAGAGTAAGGTTACTCTTGTCAGCACTGTTTACAGGGTTTTTGGGAGGGCACTTTGCACCTCTCTGGCTTCCTGGTGTCTATTGTGACTCATAGGCAGCCAGAGCAGGCTGGAAGGGCAAAGTCAAGGCCCCTAAAGCTACAGCCAAGCACCACTTTCAATGCCCACCTTGTCTTCAGCTGAAGAAAGGCCTCGATGGTCAGCTAATTCAGGCTTGCTTTGGCAGGCTGGAGAATGCCGAGGCTGAGAAGGTGGCCCTCGAAGAAGGCCAAGCCTACTGTCTATGGCCCTTGGATTCAGGGAAGCTGGCTTAGCATGGAATCTCCAACTCTGTTGATACCTGTCAGGGCTTGAGATGCTAGTCCAGCCTCTGATTCAGGTGTGGGTCCCTTCCCTGGAGAAGTTTCCCCTTTTCAGAAATGGGATTGACCTGTCTGGGGTCCCTAACTACATGGGGTTTTCCACATTGGGGGCCCAGCCAGTCTTCTGTGGTTGCTAGACAGACTTCACTGGCATTGTCCACCCCACGGAAAAGGGGGTGTCACAGTGACCACTTCTTTGCTCTGCCAGTTATCAGGCATGGAGGCTACTGGGACTTGATGCTTCAGTTCCCATCCCTGGACAACCTTCAGTAAGACCAACGGTGAGTGAATCTCTGGTTCCTCTGCTGGCTCTACCTTCCATTGGGTCATTGGACACACCTGCACATGGTGGAGCACTGAAGGGTGGGGCGATGGTCAGGAGTCAGTCAGGAGGAAGGGCATACCTTTTCAGGAAACAGTGGCCTCTTGGGGCTTTCACCACCTAAAGAGAGAATTTGTAAAGGTGTTTATGTGGACCCTTTCTCCTTTCTTGGAAGGGGGTATGGGCAGAAGGAGATGATGTGGACCTGATATTGGAATATCGTGTACAGAGCCTATTCTGAGTTTGTGGGCAGAGAATGGCTGGCATATGAAGAGGGTTTTTGTATTAGGGCTGCCTTTGAATGTTTCCTACTATGGCATAAGGAGGAGGTGGGGATGTGGGTGGCGTTGTGGTCTAAACCACCGAGCCTCTTGGACTTGCCGATCAGAAGATTGGCGGGTCAAATCCCCGTAACGGAGTGCGCTCCCGTTGCTCTGTCCCAGCTCCTGCCAACCAGCAGTTCAAAAGCACACAAGTGCAAGTAGCTAAATAGGTACCACTGTGGCGGGAAGGTAAACGGCGTTTCTGTGCGCTCTGGTTTCCGTCACGGTGTTCCGTTGCACCAGAAGTGGTTTAGTCATGCTGGCCACATGACCCAGAAAGCTGTCTGTGGACAAACACCGGTTCCCTCGGCCTGAAAGCAAGATGAGTGCTGCAACACCTGGCTTGAGAGCAGTACATGTGAAAAGGATCTAGGAGTCTTGGTTGACCACAAACTTGACATGAGCCAACAGTGCGACGCGGCAGCTAAAAAAGCCAATGCAATTCTGGGCTGCATCAATAGGAGTATAGCATCTAGATCAAGGGAAGTAATAGTGCCACTGTATTCTGCTCTGGTCAGACCTCACCTGGAGTACTGTGTCCAGTTCTGGGCACCACAGTTCAAGAAGGACACTGACAAACTGGAACGTGTCCAGAGGAGGGCAACCAAAATGGTTAAAGGCCTGGAAACGATGCCTTATGAGGAACGGCTAAGGGAGCTGGGCATGTTTAGCCTGGAGAAGAGGAGGTTAAGGGGTGATATGATAGCCATGTTCCAATATATAAAAGGATGTCACATAGAGGAGGGAGAAAGGTTGTTTTCTGCTGCTCCAGAGAAGCGGACACGGAGCAATGGATCCAAACTACAAGAAAGAAGATTCCACCTAAACATTAGGAAGAACTTCCTGACAGTAAGAGCTGTTCAACAGTGGAATTTGCTGCCAAGGAGTGTGGTGGAGTCTCCTTCTTTGGAGGTCTTTAAGCAGAGGCTTGACAACCATATGTCAGGAGTGCTCTGATGGTGTTTCCTGCTTGGCAGGGGGTTGGACTCGATGGCCCTTGTGGTCTCTTCCAACTCTATGATTCTATGATTCTAACCCCATAGTCGCCTTTGACTGGACTTAACCATCCAGGGGTCCTTTACCTTTTTTTACCTTTAAGAAGGAGGTGGACCTATGGCTCACTCTTATCTGATCTGTAGGGACAGGACTGATAATGGCCATCTTCTGGCTAGGCAGGTTGCTCTTCCTTCAAGTTCCCACAGCGTAGGAGGGGGTTCAACCTTGTTTGCTTTGCTGGGAGTACAGTTATTGTGGTATCAGCCGAATCCCTGATGGTTCATACCACTCAATTTCCCCAAATTAACAGCCCCAGCGGCTGTTTGAAATCTGTGATGTCCTGATTGTGTGACCTAGCCACCGCCACCTCTTCCAGGGTGGCCGGAGCAGCCTCCATCATAGGCTCATCCACCGCTGTGGCTGATACCTGCCGCGTCCATATTCACAGAAACGGGCGCAACACATCCAAAAGCACACTTCTGGACGTAGGTGTCTCACTTCTGGTCGCCGTGGCAAGGCTGAGTAGGCTGCAAGAAGGCTGAGGCCCAGCCACTGCGGCACTGGAGAAAGAGCCAGCAGAGCGAAGGGTTGCGGTGGTGGTGGTGGGGGAGAGCATGTGGTTGGGGGGGAGCGGGAGAAAGAGTGTGTGGATGTTGCGCTTTCCCTCCCAGGCTCCATCTTGGCATGGGTGGTGGTGGTCCTCATCCCTTCACGACTTGTCCCTGAGAAAGGTTCTGCTAGGGTGGTTTCTGGGATTCCCAGGGTAAGATGCTGGGACCATCAAGCACTATTCCTGGGAAACGGCCCCAGCTCAATCAGTGCAGCAGCTTTGTGACATCTGATGGAAAATTACCCCCCTCCCCAAAGGCAGACACCCTATATCTTAAGGAAGGGTTTTTTTTAAAGTTTTGCATCCCCTGTGTTGGTCCATACTCCCCCCTTACTTTCACTCGTGATTCGAAGTTAGTGGTGGGGAGGAGGTCCTTAGTGTCTCAGCCTTTGTTTTTGACAGATCACTGAACTGGATCAGACTGGGCACATATCATGGTATGTGGCCTAGTGTGGTATTCTAGGCAGATAACCAGGTGGCAAAGCCAAACATTGGGACCAAGCTGTGCCTTAGGCAGTGGGCTTCGGCTGAATTGCCATGGCATGCATTGGGACAGGTTGCTCCCGACCCTGTTCCAGCAATGGGGTGTGTGCCCCCCATGCATGTTTTGGTTGCCCATCTGGGCTTGTGGGATCACCAGCCTCATAGAACCAACATGCTTAAGTCCACTTGATGCATGAAGGGGTTAATGGCATAGAGTAAGCTGTCCTGTCAGGCTTAGCTAGGCCACTCCTCACCTTGGGAGGAGGGGAATCAAACCCATTGTTGTACCTCAGTCTATCTGAGAAGCTCAGCTGAGAAGTTCAATGCTATTCAACACCCATATGGTCACTATGAGTTTTTGGAGCTGTGCCTGGATGCAGTGGTGAACGAGGATCTATACATTGACCTTGAATCCTGGAAAGGTGGAGGCCTATAGAGTGGCTCTCTATCTGGACGACAGGTCAACTCCTATACTGGATGGGCTTGTGCTTCTTCTGAAGGAGCAGGTATGCTGTCTGGGAGTTCTCCTTAATCCATCTCTGTTATTAGAGGCCCAAGTGAGCTCCCTGGGCCATTCCTGGACTGCAACAACTTAACCTCAGCAGTCCATGCCTTATGACTCAAGTACTGTGTTTGCTACAAGCGTCCTGGTTGTTTTGGCTGCTGCAGATTGATACTGCCACTCCTCTGGTTGCTTAAGCCACTTAACTGGAGGAGGACATTGGTTATTCCTCCACCAACTCGGATTGGCTATAGCCCTGCCCTGCCCTGCCTCAAGACAAGTCTTCTCCCTGTGGGATTGTCACCAGACATTGGAAGTGGGAACTCCTGGGTGGTACTTAGCTGGTTTCACTCAAACAGACCCACTGAAATTAATAAACATGACCAAGGTAGGTCCATTCAACTCTATAGGTTTGAGTAAAACTGAGTTGAATACAACCTCCCCCTGTTTTTGTGCCGCTCCGCTGGGCTATAGCATCACATTGGAGCCTTTGCATTCTCATCTTTTAGCCAGTTGCTGGGGAAGGTTCAATATACGTATGTGTGTATGTATAAACACAAAAATAATGTGGTAACTTAACTTATTGCCTTTTTTTACTCACTTCTTGGCTTGAGAAATGTTTTCACTCCTCACCCCATTGCACTTTATTAGATTCTTTCTATTAACCCTTCCCATCCCTTCTCTCATTTAAGTATTCATTTCCACCCATTTGTATCATGGCTGCATGTAATATTAGTTTCTCCTCCTTTCTCCCCTGCTCCTCATTAATCTCCATGTCATTTTACTAGGAGTTTCACAAAAGACTTGCTGCAGCTGATCAGGAGCTTCTAACGGCTCCTGTCAGAGATCTCACTGTCTCCAAGGAAGATACAGGAAATGCTTCCCATTCCTTCCTTCTGATCACATCAGTTATAGAACTCACTTCCACAGGAGGAAATAGTGGCCACCAACTTAGACGGCTTTAAAAGAGAATTAGACAAATTCAGGGAGGAGAGTGCTATTGAAGGCTACTAGCCACACTCACTAAGCTCTTCCTCCACAGCTGAAGGCAGCAACGCAGAATCCCAGTTACAGGAAGAGTTCTTTTGGGCTTGAACCCTGCCAGCATCTCATTCACCACTGTGAAAACAGGATGCTGGACCAGATGGGCCATTGGCCTGATCCAGCACACTCTTCTTATGTTGTATGGACCTAAGTCACCTTAGCAACAAAAGAAACCTTAGAACACCATTTGCTTCTCATCTCCCATTCCTGGTAATGCAACAACTAATATTTTTATTTTAAAAACTGCGGAATGCTATAAGTCTGAGAGTCCCCCTACAGAGCACTGGGCGGAGGGACTGAGCGTAAAGATGAATGAGAAATCGTCCCACTCCCAAATTAACTTAATTCACCCATAGTTCACCCAGCAATTATGGTAGCAACTTTCTGCGGTCGTTCAGAGATTTTTGTTCAAATGCACTAGTTGATTCCAAGCACTGGGGATACCAGGACCCTTGTGCACATGTGTTGCTGTGTAGGTTTTTGGGTTGCTATGTATTGCAAAATTGCTTCAGCTGCAGGATGAGCCTAGGATCTGACCTGTGTTATGTCAGTGTGAGCCCAGGTGGAGCAGCTGTGGGTTGGTTGCACTTCATATCATTACGTTTGTCCCCTTTCCATTCCAGGCTTCCTGTATCCGCATTTACGCAGCCATACATTGCATCCCTCTTGGGATCCTTTGCAGGTGTGCATCTGTGTGCCTTTTATTTCTCCTGTGACTCTTTAGACCCTACCCCCCAACTCCCCACCCCCCCATTAGGCAAAAAGAAAGAATGAAAACATCCATGCATGCAAGACTTTTTATGAGTTTTCAGTTTCAAAAACATGTTAAGAAATTTCATTTAGACGGGATCTGTCAGAAGAAACTGGAGGATTGTATGATTTAAGTGAGAATGCAGAGTTCAACGAAGATGATGAACGGCCCAAGAGGGACCTCCTATGTTATTTCGGGGGGGGGGGGCACTTGCAAGAAGCAACACATTCTTGCATAATTTCCTTGTTAATGCATCCTTGTGATTTCACTACAGCTTCACAGTTGATGTTCTTATCTCTATATTTTCAACGATTGGCTGAAAATGAAAAGGACAAGAACACATCAGAGTTAACAAAAGCAAAATGCCTCCAAGGATTCAAACTCCAGGGACTCTTTCATTTTTAGTTGATATAGTGGAGCTTAAACTGAAGGTGGTTTAAAAGAAAAAGAAGAACACGTAAAACATTATTTAGCAGTTTGTTTTAATGAATGTAGGAACTGAATTAGTAGTTTAGCAATCCCGGCTGTAACCCAGAATAAATTGGGCATGTTTGTAAGGGTGGATGTGCAGGTCATGAGAACATTTACACAGACATCCTGCAACCACCTACAGAATAAGGAAGGTTATGGGGTCTATAATCTTGTGCACATCTACTCAGGAATAAGCTTCCATCAAATTTACTGGGATCCATTCTTATTAAGTGCCCTTTCTAAAGTACAAAAAGGCATTATGATAATATTTGAAGTTATTTCTACTCACTGCATAATCCATTGTCGCATGAGCCAGGGCAGTCCCCACAAGGTGACCCAGACTTATATGGGGTTTGAAGTGATCCCATCATGTTCCCTCTGGAATGATAAATAAGATAAATAAGAAGTAAACAAACAGGGATACATTTGTGCTTTCTGTTCTCAATTAGAAAAGTATTCATGCATATTTTTTAGAAAGTTCCTTTAGTCTACTGTTGTATTAACCTTTTGTGTGCTGTAAATTATTGTTCTTAATTTTTCCTTAATTTTATTGTTCAAACTGCTCGGATGTTTTTTGACAAGCAGTGCATACATTTTTGAAATGAATGTGAGGAATAGGGTTGCACGCTGGATTTTGCTGAAGCTCCAAGCCTAAAATGAATTCAGCTCATTCAGGTGGATTGGGGCTTTGGCTGAGTCGGGTGGAGACAAGGCCAAACAGAGTCAGCCTCCCAGAGCGACTGGCCAGCTGGGAGAAGGAGACCTCTTCCCAGCAAGGGAAGACAGCCATGCGGTGAAGCTGAGCAGGCCTGAACCCTCAGCTGCCAGGGTGCGATGCAGGGAGAAGGAGGGGCAGCAACTCCTTCTGCCTCCCAAATATATTGGCTTATTGTTCTAGTCAGATGCAGGAAAAAGGAGACTGGCCAACTCACTCTTCAACTGAAAAAGTCCGGGCAAACTTGGAAGTAGGTTTACGTAACAATGATGAGAAATTAGTTTCTAACATGTACAAATCATTGTTAGGCTGGGAAACAAAGGATGAAATGGTTAAAATAACAATGACTAATTGTGCTAAGGATGTTGGACATAATATAGATATGGCTGCCTGGGAAGAGCTTTGGAAAACAGGAATGAAATTTACAGCATTTTATGGCTTAAAAGAAAATTATTACAATATGATATACAGATAATATTTAACCCCAAATAAACTAGTTCAAATGTACAAAAATGTATCAAATAAGTGTTGGAAATGTAATGACTGTGAGGGGTCATTTTATTATATGTGGTGGACTTGCAGGGAGGCGAAGGCCTTTTGGGACGTGATATATAATGAAATTAAGAAAAATAAATAAATTGGCTTTTCCCAAGAGGCTAGAATCCTTCCTACTGGGGATACTAGACAGCAAAATCCCAAATGAAGCCTCAATGGTATTTATGTATGTGACTACAATGGCAATGCACAGAAATCTCAATGCACAGAAATGGAAGGAGGAGGGAACACCCTCTAAAAAGAATGGTTGGTGAAAATCTGGGAATACGCAGAGATGGCAAAACTGACAGCACTGATAAGAGACACAGATTTCAAATCCTTAAAGAAGACTGGAAACCCTTTCTAGTCTACAGTGGTACCTCGGGTTACATACGCTTCAGGTTACAGACAGAAATAGTACCTCAGGTTAAGAACTTTGTTTCAGGATGAGAGCAGAAATCGTTCTCCGGCGGCGCGGCAGCAGCAGGATGCCCTATTAGCTAAAGTGGTGCTTCAGGTTAAGAACAGTTTTAGGTTAAGAACAGACCTCCAGAATGAATTAAGTACTTAACCCGAGGTACCACTGTATTAAAGAAGTTATTCCCCATATGCAAAGACCACATTGGGGTTTGAAGTGTCAGAAAATAGCTGAATATATTAAGAAACATGTTAAAGAGGATGAAATTATATAAGACGGAACCTTAAAATGCAATTGTATGTAATCTGGGTTACAAACATCTATGTTTTGTGAATGGGAAGTCACTAGTTTTGTGACTTCCCTGCCTATTCTCCTGAGGATGATAACTGTGACTGCTCCTATGAACAAGGAAAAAATTGGGCTGAATGAAATAAGCCTCCCAGAATCTCTATACTAGTTGTGGGTGGCAAATGGAGGTTTTCTGCCAAATATTCTCTGGGGTGGCACGGGATTTCCCCAGGATTTTAGAGCTGGCATAAGGAACTTGATATGGTTAAGGTCTGACTGGATCCACCCTGGTGGTGAAGTTAGGGAGTTCATTTCACTGAATATTCAGTGCAATGAACATTCCGGAATGAAAGTCTTCAACTATTTAGGAGGATCCAAAGGCAGCGGGGTGTGTGTGTGTGGAGGTTTCCATAAAATGTCAGAAAATTCTTTTCTGAGGGGTTTTGACTTTGTCATTAAAAAAATAAATCCACTGCTGCTTCCTTATTTTTTTAGGCAAATAGCCCAAAGGTAATAAGGACGTTGTTGTTTTTGTTTTCTGGTTGGTTGGCAGCCATTGAAATGCAGAGTTAATACTGTACTAGCCCAAGCGTCCTGTGGCTCTTATGAGGGTTCTTTTATTCAGGTTTCTGGTTTTTTTTGTAATATATAAAAGGAAAACTGATATGAAACATAAATCCTTTGGAGACTATGGGTAACAAACGACAGACAAACAAACAAACAAACAAACAAACAAACAAACAAACAAACAGATAAATAAATAATACATACGCAGGACAGTACTGGCAAACGTAGAGGTACTTCATGCTGCTTTGAGGACAATGGGCATCATAACAACCAATGAGGTGAGACTTGTGCCAAACCACCTGTAAGTATAAGAACATCCACACAAGAAAACATATTGGAATCTGTTTCCATGCCGAGCAAGGAAAAAACATACATTTAACAGCTTTTTTAAAAAAACAACCAAAATATCATCACTTTGTGTTGTGTCTAATTGAAGCAACCTCATTTTTCCCCTCAGGGAAAGGAAGTTTGAATAAGCTGTGAATGAGAATGGCATCTGAAGAAAAAACAGAAAGAAAGGCACAGCAGAGATAAAGACAATCCATTATCTGAACTTCTGTGTGAAAAATATGGAAAAAGTACTGGGTGAAATATGAGGGAAAAACCCACCTCTTCTCGGTTTTCTTTCTTCCTTCCTTCTGTGAGGTTCCAGGCAGCAGCAAGCCAAGATGCAAGTGGGCTATCAGGCATGGATTGACTAGCTGAACCATGCGCTTGACAAAGATACAAAACGGTGTTTGAGTTACCTGAGTGTAATGGCCAGTTACAGCCCCTGGACGAACTGCTCCAACACCGTACTTGAAATCTTTCACCTCCTTGTACCAAGCTTGAATCACGTCATTCCATGGAGTAGGGTGAGATGATGCATATATATTTTCACCACATGAGATGCCATCTAGAAGTGGAGACGGGAAGCATTAACAAAACTCGTGATTCCTGACCTAGGAAATTCTGTAAACAAGAGGAGTCATGCAATGTTCAGGGGAACATGCTGCAACAGGTAAAAGCTTGTTTATCCAAGCAGAATTTGTCCCCCCACTCACAAATCTGTCTGGTTAGCTAGTTGGTTAAAGCTACTCACATTTGAATGCAAAATAATTATTCTAAAGCAAAAGGTACACCTGTTTTGTTGTTAGCACGTGTATATTTGCCTGTAAATGTCTTTTCTAAAAGGCACTCGCTCTCTGGGGGTTTTAGAATTATTGCAGTGGTGTGTGGTCAGTGGACTAGGCATAAGAGTTCAAGAGCCCTTTCCAAAGCCCACCTGGCATCTTGTCAGAGGCCTGGCGCCTCCTTCTCAAAGCCCAGGAAGCTTCTGCCCAGCTTAGGGATGGAGGTGCAATGCTCACGTGTGTGACATTGTGGCATCGTAATGTCACACATGCAACATCACCCCAATTGCCCTTGCAAGCTGTCACCTCTTACCTTAACTTTCCCTATGAAAAATTTCACTGCTTGCCACTGAATTATTGTATCGCTCTCTATCTCTATCTCTATCTCTATCTCTATCTCTATCTCTATCTCTATCTCTATCTCTATCTCTATCTCTATCTCTCTCCAATCTCCAATCTCCAATCTCCAATCTCCAATCTCTAATCTCCAATCTCCAATCTCTCCAATCTCTCCAATATCTCCCATCATCTCCCATCTCTATCTCTATCTATCATCTCCATTTCCCTCCATTACTGTGATTAACATGGCAGAGATATTGAAGTTCAAAAGCAAAATGTTTCAGGTTTCACCTTCTTTCGAACACCTGAGGGAGGAGGAAGCTGCAGTGTACTGGTCCTCTGTGCTTAAAAAGTTATATGTATCACAGGTGGACACAGTGTGCGTCGAGGCAAAGCTTGGCTGGTGAGAATGGCATGTGGAATTCTCACTTCAGATGTTAGGGAGAATTGGAACATTCCTCTCCATTGTGCCTCTTTCTGTGGGATTCCTCGAGTATTTTTAATATTATGCTCAGAATGACAATTGCGGAGTCAGTGCAACAATTGTGAATGTATATTAGATGTGGGTTAGATTTTAGATCACCCTCAATTTTTTGCACAGTGCTTACTGACAGATGTACTTGCCGGCAACTCTTTGGTTACTTGGGCTGTGAACAAATTTACAGTTGCTTGCCCAGCGTTTTGCATTCGCTTCAGCAGCTGAATTCCATCTCTAAATGAAAAAAAAAGTAGTAAATGTGTGAATGGACACATACTCTAAAAATGGAGAACATCATATACCTCTGATTTCTTCAAAATTTCATGTGTTCTGTTCTAGAGTCAGTAACCAACCTCAGTCCCTGGATGATCTTAAGCATTGTTTAGCATTACCTTTGCCTGACTCATGCCAGCCATGCTTAACGATAGTAAGGTAAAAAAGGTAAAGGACCCCTGGACAGTTAAGTCCAGTCAAAGGTGAATATGGGGTTGCAGCGCTGATCTCACCTTCAGGCTGAGGGAGCCGGCATTTGTCCGCAGACAGCTTTCTGGGTCATGTGGCCAGCATGACTAACTGCTTTTGGTGCAACGGAACTCTGTGATGGAAACCAGAGCACATGGAAACGTCGTTTACCTTCCCACCGCAGCGATACCTGTTTATCTACTTGCACTGGCACGCTTTTGAACTGCTAGGTCGGGCAGAAGCTGGGACAGAGCAATGGGAGCTCACCCTGTTGCATGGATTCAAACTGCTGACCTTCAGATTGGCAAGCCCAAGGGGCTCAGTGGTTTAGATCAGAACGCCACCCAAATCCCTAGCCGCTTTCAAACTCTGGTTAAGATGGTGAGTTAGGTGCTCTCAGCTACTCATTGGGATGTGCACACATTACCATTTACTGGGGTTCTAGGGCACCCCAACCACTGGGCTTTGAATCTATGGATGCACAATGTTATTCATATTCCAAACATATGCTGCCATTTCTTGTGCTTTGGTGTGTTTCCCTCCAAGTCAAATTTAGCCTGACGTGAGCATTGTAGCCTTGTCCCACTTCTAGTGAAGCCCTGGTGTACATTAGAGACACTGATGTTTCCTTCTGGGGCGGCGGTCCTACATGTCTGACATGAGAGTTCCCCCATCTCCTTCCTCCTACACCTCTCTTGCCAGGAGCGCCCCTTCCTTTTCACAGAAGACAGCCTCCATTCCACCTGCCACAGCTGCTTGCTGGGGGAGTAAAGTCTGCATGTTTAGGCAAAGTTGTGGTGGTGAGCCTTGGGCCACAGAACTCAGGACACATTGGACTCAGCTACATTAGTACAGAAAAAGTGTTTTAAATGTGTTATAACACTGTGACCCCAGATGACACTGTGGAATTCCATCTTTCGCCAACATGATTTCCCATTATGAGGTTTACAACACGTTTTCCTGAAATGCTTTTTTGAGGTGTGTAGATCCAGCCACTATATAGCATACCCTCCAACTTCTTCTAGCCTAAATCTGGGGCACACACCCCACCCACTCAGGCCGACCTTCACCACTGCCACCCCCACACCACTTCCCTGCTCACCCCACACCCACTCAGGCCACTTCAGCACGCCATTGCTGCCCCACCCCCCGCTGCCTTAGCTTGGCTGGCTGGGTTCTCTCTCCACCACCTCGGCTGCCACCACCGTGAGGGTTTTTTTGTATACTTATTCTTAGATCTTATTAGGACTTATGTGGGGAATATTTAATTTTGTTGTATATGTCTGGATGTGTTTTATTCTTTGCTTATGACAAATTTTGTTATATTTATCTGATTATGTAAATTGCATTGAGCATGGCTTGGACGATGGAATAGTGACATACGCATAAATGATGATATGCAAATATGTGCCCACTTTTTGTCCTCTTCTGTCTTTTCTAAAACGATGTGTAAGTGGCATTCATGCTGTTGTTGAATCTAGTCCTATCTATGAGAGGTTTTCTGCCTGCAAGGAGGTGTAGTATCCCTGGAAAGCCTTTGCAAGGCCCCTGACCTACATGAATCGGGCCTCTTCCTTGCTTACCATCTTCAGCATGTTGCTTGCCGGTGGCTGCACTCCTCTTCGCAGGGCATTGTGCTTGTCAACAATCTGATTTCGCTCAGCTGGTCCAATTCCTACTGCATGTGCCTGAAGTAAGAGAACGAGTAATATTCCTCTTGTCTTTATCTACAGGATTATTTTTCATTATGCTAATATAGTTTTACCACTGTTTCTCTAAGAATCATGAAAAAGTGCTTTGTAGGCCCCATTTGCCTCTGTCAGGCTCCTCTGACGAAATGAAATCTGAGTTGTAAACTGTTGGGTAATGCAGTGCCACCAAACTCTCTTTGGCGTATTCTGGATCAGTGGTGCCGGCTTGCGCCGGCAACCATAGGTGCCTGAGGCTGGGCACTGCCATCACGCCCTTCTGGTGTGTGCGTTCTATGTCATCACGCCCCCCGCATGCTGATGTCACTCATACACGTAATGCGGGCGCGGTGATGTGGCGCACACACGCCAGGGGCATGATGACAGCATGCATGCACAACCGAGCCTGGCTCCCTCATTTAAAATGTTGTGGGAGCCACCGCACCAGGGCCCTGGGCACCCGGCACCTATGCTTTGGATAAATCTACAGTTACTGAAATAAAAAAGAGACTTGCCATTACTTTTAGTGGAATTGAAAACCACAACATCCTTAAAGAATCGAGATTCAATCAAGTTTTTTGTTTTTAAAAAAATACAGTTACATTTGTTTGGACTTCCCCTTAAGTATGATATTTTTCAAGTTCATTATGTTCCTAGATGAAGCAGTAAAACACATTTTGACTGATTAAAGAGAATATTTAGGTTGACCCAAACCAATCTTAGATTTGAAAACAACCCAACCAATTTTAGTAACACTTTCCCCCCTACTGATTTAAATGGGAGAGAGTTAGGCATGGATGCCTGTGTAGCTAAGAAACTTACTTTTGAAGCAGGTTGTTGTAACACAGCAGCAAAACTCAGCAACACAATGAGAATGATCATCTCTGAAAACAAAATAACAGCAGGGGTTTTACCTTACATTTGCTGTTTGTATATAGAATGTACTTATTGAGACATGGCACCCCTCTCCTGAGGGCTGGTTTAGATTCCTGCTCATGTGGCAGCAGTCAAGAAGTCGATTTCTGCTTCCCAGAGCAGGGCTGATCAGGTGGCAGATCAGGATCTGATGGAAGATCTCTGGATAGTTTGCAGAAGATGGAAGAGGGTTTTGGACTCCCAGTTGTTTAACAGTGGCAATTCACTGCTGAAGATTTTTGCCCCACCCTCCCAATGTAAGAAAATGTTTAATATATCTTATAGCATACTAATCCTCCACAAAAAAACAACAACACATCAGGCTCTTAGAAGGAATAATTGACCTGTAGTAACTCGGATGTACATGTTCCTTAAAGGTCATTCCCACTGGAATGGGAATCCCCAAGTAAATGCTCATAAAATGGCAGCCTTGAAATTGCTTTAACCACAATCTCCTTCTCCCTGGGGGCTCTGGGTCTTTTAGTTCTGTCTGTGATCTCCAGACTGAATTGTGAGCACCTGCTGAAAAGTATAGTTCCCAGGATTCTTCTGGGGGAAGGTATAAATGTGAAATTTGTAAAATATACATTAGATATATCCCTAGCATTATATCCATTGAAGACTATGGTAATGCTCTTGCAGATCCCAAGACCTCCCCCAATAAATAAAGACACAATTGAGACAGAATTTAGTTTAAGGTTATTGGCATAATTTTGGCCACAACTTTATTGATTACAGATCGTGAGTGGTTTGCTTAGGCATTGGTTCCTGACTAGCTGCAACTGACCTTGTCATGGCAGCACTGACGACTGGACTCTGGCAGAGGTCAGTAAGGGGAAACATCCTGGGGGAGCATTGGACCAGGCTCAGACTCAAGCCCACGCTCTGGCGTGGCTCTAAGCCCTGGAAGGGGATTGGACAAAAGCAAGGTGAGCCCCTGGATTCCTTTAACGGAATACCTTTCGCGCATTGGAGGGGCAGATGTGACAACCCCCCCCCACTCCACATTGAACCAATCCCTAACTGCCAAACCTTACAAAATTGTTATGATTTGCTACGCGGCAGGCGAAACCCAAGTGGCACCAGCCAATCAGCCAAATGGGAAAATTCCTACTGGGCCCCTGTCCCAAGAACAGATGACCCATGATGGCATAGCAAGGTCATAATGGACCCTAAATATAGGGAGGGTGATCTGATGCACGAGGCGAAAAGAGGAAGCTCAACGCAACGTGCAGTGGCATATATAGGTCCCTTGGTTAATGCATGAACAAGCCCAATGGCCAGATTTACCCCAGCAACCGAGGGACCACCAATCAGGTTATTGTGGCTATCCAATCACTCCCACCCACACAAGCAATGAGGTCAGTCCTGATGATCTCACCGCAACACGTGCTATCTGGGAGGAGGACACAATTTATCAGCTGGCTTAAGTGCAGAGTCTTCAGTAGAAGAGTTTTGTAAACTGCTTTCAGGGTGGTTGTTGTTGTTGTTTTAACCGTGAAGTGGTGTATAAATTTTATGAAATAAATGAATGAATAATAGAAATGTGAACATTAAGATGTCTCCTCCTGAGCTAACCTAACGTGTTTAGCTAGGGCTGCCATACGTCCGGATTTGCCATACGTCCGGATTTGGAATTGAGGTCCAGGTGGAATCTCTGAAAGGCGATGCTTTGTCCTGAATCTTAGGCAAGTCAATTGAAATATTGGTTCAACAACAAAAAGCTCAGCAATTTTGGGGTTTCCTGGTTTTCCTTTTTGAAATATGGCAACTCTAGTTGCAAATAACTTTCATATGGCAGGCTATGTGATATAGCAGGCTATAGTATAAACTGGCTACCCCCCATCCCCCCAAAAAATCTTACCTTCTCATTTCCAGTGAGACCAGAATAACCTCCTTTGCAGATTTAAGAAGGTTCTGGATGTCACTGGATGATGTCACTGGCTTATATACCTCTCCTGTTTCCTGCTTTGCAGAATGACTCAATGTCCAACAGTAAATCACACAGTTTTGTTGAGGGAGAACTTTGGATTTCTCTTATGTTGTTTTAAAAAAGATTTATTTCCTGAAATTTATTAACCATCTTCTATGCAACAACAAAGCATTTCTTATTAGTGAGCTCTTTCATGCCAGCCAACTTCTTATGAAGGATTGATATCTGTGCTTGTTCTTTATCCCATGGCATCATTTCATCACCCATAGAGCTAAGCACATTTACTTACAAGCAAGTCCCATTTCCCCCCCAAAGCAGACTGTGTTTGCAGCTGTAGCCTAAGAGTCTAAACCAACTGCAAACCATCATGAATGGTTGAAGGCACTGAATCATTACAGATTGCAGTATGTGATCACAAGCTGTTTAGAAAACCCAATTTATCAACACCCCATTTCATTTGCATAGATGTGTGGTTAAATCAGATCACTGATGTGCCTTCCTTTACTTTTCTTTTCGAAGATGTGAGGATTTTAAATGTTGGATGTGTTAACATTCATAGATAAATGCTTTTAGGTAGCATTGCATAATAATGGCTACCCTTTCTTTTGATACAGACTTATGTGTTTCCTATAGCAGAAGAATTTCTCCCTTTGTTGTTGTTGTTTAGTCGTTTTGTCGTGTTCGACTCTTTGTGACCCCATGGACCAGAGCACGCCAGGCACTCCTGTTGTCCACTGCCTTCCGCAGTTTTTTCAAACTCATGCTGGTAGCTTCGAGAACACTATCCAACCACCTCATCCTCTGTCGTCCCCTTCTCCTTGTGCCCTCCATCTTTCCCAACATCGGGGTCTTTTCCAGGGAGTCTTCTCTTCTCATGAGGTGGCCAAAGTATTGGAGTCTCCCTGGTGAATTTCTCCCTGGTGCCTGCTAATTATATTGGAAGTAAAGCTCCCATTTGAGCCAATGGAAGCGGGTGTCAGTCGCCCAGTCTGGATCAGGACTGTAGCAAGGGAAGGGTTAAGGCCCTCCTGATAATAGTTGGACTCTGCCTGCTATTGACTACTTGCACTATTTATGCACTGCTGAAGTGATAGGAAATGTTCTGGTGTCCCTCATTTGCTGATCCTTGGCAGCTTGTATCTCTTTATGCAGTGATGCCACACAGCTGATCTTTCCAGAGGTGATGTTGATGATGGCATACTGAGTGGCATTCCAGCATTCAGTGATTGCTTCTGTCCACTTAGCATCCTGACATAATTGCTGCACATACGTTCTCCTGCATGTGCTTCTGGAATCTGCTGAAGCAGAGTAGGGATTCATGGGAGCATGAGGATGTATCAGGAAAAGCAAAATACAGTGACTTATACTGTGTTACATGTCCTTTCTGGATTGTGGCAAGTCATAATGTTCAAAACTGAATGTTCTTATTCAAATGTTCTTCTAGAACAAGGGATACCATGACTTTCTTTCTCCTGGATTTTTTTTTTAAAGCATTGAGCCAATAATATGTCGTAATACGTTATCATATCTCACATATTATCTTAAGGAAGGCATAGGCAAACTCCGGTCCGCCAGATGTTTGGGACTACAATTCCCATCATCCCTAGCTAACAGAACCAGTGGTCAGGGATGATGGGAATTGTAGTCCCAAACATCTGGAGGGCCCGAGTTTGCCTATGCTTGTCTTAAGGTTTGGGCTCTCATTCTGGTTTTCTTACACAAGATGCATTGGTGCGGGAAATGGGTAGAAAATGGGAGTAGGCTCAAATACTTCATCAGTGTGATGGAGTCATGGCTCTGGTTGGTGGTCTCATTGCCCATAGACCTTCATCCTTCCCTCCTTCAGAAGAATAACCCTGGCCACTGACAAGTGAGTGGGGAAATGGAGGTTATTGCACAGGTGAAGTACAATTGTGGCCTTGTGTGCATATTATATCCCTGGATGGGTGAGTCTATGAACCAGCCCACTGTCCGTGAACTGGCCCATTGTGAATTGAGTCCACATAGTGGTGCATTGTGTTACTTTTGGTTATGACAGATATTAGCAATGAACTTTTCAGTGCAAATTAAGTTGTTCCCATAAATATGTTTCTAAGAAGGGCTCTTCCTAATGTTCTAGCATCTCGAATTCAGGGTTACTTAAGGTGATTTACACAAGCACTTTTTCCACCATGAATTGATTATTTAAATGCATCTTATAGCAGATATCCATACGTATCCCAGTCTTGTGAGTGGTACAGCTTTCAATACATGTCTTATCTGAAAGATTTAAGAACAGCTATATTTGGGAAGTCAAACCAAGATCTCTTCTTTTCTTAGTGGGCTTTCAGCTTCGATAATTTTTTTCTAGCTTGCCCACCAGAGTGGCAACTCAGTTTGGATGGAGAGTAATATGTTATAGAATGATGCTAAGCCTCTCACTTCCTCTGGGAACAAGGGGTCCTGAGATCAGCTTGGTAGACACACACCTGATTAAGAGTAAGTTTAGCTATTTCTGTTGAGCCCTTGATCACACGCTTGTGTTCCGGGCTGGAAAATGGATCCAATGACCTGCAATGATATCTTCACTAAGAAGCTATGAAGTCTGCTTGTCTCAGATCAGCATATAATGGCCTGATCCTGTTAAGCTCCACCAAAGCCAATGGATGAAGTTACTCAATGGGTAAGTCTGGTTATGAGTTACATTTACCACAGAAGCAGCCATGCATACACCAGGTTCTGACTGCAAGGTGGGGGTTTCAGCCCGAGGTCCACATATAACCTCCTGGGCAACTGTCTGAGGGCCACATGTCAGGGGTGACACTTCAGATTGCCAACAACGTCCACTCCCCCCCATTAGACAAGCAATAAAATAAAGAAATCCACACTTGCAAGGTAATTTATGAGTTTTCAATTTAAAAAGCCTGTTAACAAGTTTCTTTGTTTTTTTAAAAAAATAATATTTATTACTTTTCCAACAATTTAAACACACACACAAAAAACCAATACAATACAATACAATACAATACAAAAACACTACATAACCCATTAAACTAACAGAAGAAAACAAAAACAGTTTAAAAGACATCGAACAATTTCCATATCTTATCTTTCATTCACTTATTTCAATGACCTCCTCACACCTCCCTTTTTGTATTCCACTTCTGTTGATTGTTTCAGCAATTCCTTTCCATCTTCCTCTGCTTTCTATCCTTTAATTATCTTAACAGATTCTAACCTTATTCTTCCCTTTAATACTCTATTAATCTATTTGTACTTAATTCCTTATAACATTTCTACTAAAGCCATATAACTTCATTCCAACATTTTTCTAACATTCATTAATTTTACAATATTTCTGTAAATAGTCTTTAAACTTTTTCCAGTCTTCTTCCACCGACTCTTCTCCCTGGTCTTGGATTCTGCCAGTCATTTCCGCCAGTTCCATATAGTCCATCAACTTCATCTGCCATTCTTCCCGGGTGGGTAAAACAAGTTTCATTTGGAAGGGGTCATCCAGAAGGTCCTGACGGATGGCCTGATTTGAATGAGAATGCAGAATTCAACAGAGAGGACGAATGCCCCTATTTTATTTCAGTGGTATGCAGGCAAGAAGCAGGACAATCTGCCTCAAAGCTTTCTTCTTGCATCTGCCTTACTTCGCTACATCAGCTCAGTTGCTGTAATTATCCACACGTTTGCAAGGATTGTCTGAAAGTGAAAAGAACACGAAACACACCACCATCAGAGTAGACATCAACAAAAGCAGAATGCCTCCAATGGATTCAAATTCCAGGGACTCCTTAATTCGGTGGTTCTCAAAGGGTGTGGCAGGAGAGGATAGCGAGCCTGGTGGGAAGATTCAAGGGCAACCCCAAAACATTTAAACATTTCATTTGTGTTGATGAGGAGATGAAGTGGAAGCGTTTTTGCTTGCCCAATACAACAATCTCCTTAGAGCTACTGTGAGTACACCCCATCATGCTGAAATTCTCCATCCACCTCAGAAATATGGAAGGTTATTGATACTGCAGTTCTGTGCATACCTGCTTGGGAACAGCTTCCTTCAAACTCAAAGGGGTTTTCTTCTGAACAATTATGCTTAGGATGTGGCAGTTTTAGCATCCCAACTGGCAGGGGTGGCAACTTGAATAAATATTGGGAGGGCTCAGGTAAGCCCCACCCTGCATAACCGACCACAAGATGCAGCACATGCACAGCATTTGAATGGCAATGCCCATCACCTATGGGGGACCTTGGCTCCCTCAAATATTTTGTAAGGGGCGGGGGCAAAGGGACCTCGGCCCCTAGGAGTTGGCTGCTATGCAAACTGGAAATATTATTGCCAATGCCCCTCACACAAAGGCTATTTCACATAAAGAATGCTTCGCTTTCTATGTAATATTGGACGTAAAGGATATTTATTTATTTATCACATTTATAGCCCTCAAGGAGCTCAAGGTGGTGTACTTAAGTTTGCCTCCTCCCTGTTTTATCCCCACAACCATCTTGCGTGGTAGGTCAGGCTGAGAGAGTGTGACTGACCCAAGGAACCAGTGACCTTCATGGCCGACCGAGGAGTCGAACTCTGATCTCCCAGCTGATGGCATGGCTCCCCAAATCAACACAGACTGTGGAAACTTCACATTGGACTTCAAGCATCTGGCATTGTGTGCCTCCCCATTCTTCCTCCAGACTCTGGGTCCTTGGTTTCCAAATGAGATGCAAAAGCTGCTCTCATCAGAAAAGAGATTTGGGGAGCCGTGTCATCAGCTGGTGTTGGTCCACTGTGCTTCATTAAGTCCAGGGTCAATGTAGCCATCTACCAGGAGATTTTGGAGCACTTCATGCTTCCTACAGCAGATGAGCTTTATGGGGATGCTGATTTCATTTTCCAGTAGGACTTTGTCACCTGCCCACACTGCCAAAAGTACCAAAACCTGATTCAATGGACATGGGATTACTGTGCTTGATTGGCCAGCATACCCGCCTGACCTGAACCCCATAGAGAATCTATGGGGCATTGCCAAGAGAAAGATGAGAGACATGAGACTGAGCAATGCAGAAGAGCTGAAGGCTGCTATTGAAGCTTCCTGGTCTTCCATAACACCTCAGCAGTGCCAAAGGCTGATAGCATCCATGCCATGCCGCATTGAGGCAGTATAGAATCATAGATCATAGATCATAGAATCATAGAGCTGGAAGAGACCACAAGGGCCATCGAGTCCAACCCCCTGCCAAGCAGGAAACACCATCAGAGCACTCCTGACATATGGTTGTCAAGCCTGTGCTTAAAGACCTCCAAAGAAGGAGACTCCACCACACTCCTTGGCAGCAAATTCCACTGTTGAACAGCTCTTACTGTCAGGAAGTTCTTCCTAATGTTGAGGTGGAATCTTCTTTCTTGTAGTTTGGATCCATTGCTCCGTGTCCGCTTCTCTGGAGCAGCAGAAAACAACCTTTCTCCCTCCTCTATGTGACATCCTTTTATATATTTGAACATGGCTATCATATCACCCCTTAACCTCCTCTTCTCCAGGCTAAACATGCCCAGCTCCTTAGCCGTTCCTCATAAGGCATCGTTTCCAGGCCTTTGACCATTTTGGTTGCCCTCCTCTGGACACGTTCCAGTTTGTCAGTGTCCTTCTTGAACTGTGGTGCCCAGAACTGGACACAGTACTCCAGGTGAGGTCTGACCAGAGCAGAATACAGTGGCACTATTACTTCCCTTGATCTAGATGCTATACTCCTATTGATGCAGCCCAGAATTGCATTGGCTTTTTAGCTGCCGCATCACACTGTTGGCTCATGTCAAGTTTGTGGTCAACCAAGACTCCTAGATCCTTTTCACATGTACTGCTCTCAAGCCAGGTGTCACCCATCTTGTATTTGTGCCTCTCATTTTTTTGCCCAAGTGCAATACTTTACATTTCTCCCTGTTAAAATTCATCTTGTTTGTTTTGGCCCAGTTCTCTAATCTGTCAAGGTCATTTTGAAGTGTGATCCTGTCCTCTGGGGTGTTAGCCACCTCTCCCAGTTTGGTGTCATCTGCAAATTTGATCAGGATGCCCTTGAGTCCATCATCCAAGTCGTTGATAAAGATGTTGAATAAGACCGGGCCCAAGACAGAACCCTGTGGCACCCCACTAGTCACTCTTCTCCAGGATGAAGAGGAACCATTGATGAGCACCCTTTGGGTTCGGTCAGTCAGCCAGTTACAAATCCACTGAGTGGTAGGATAGTCAAGACCGCATTTTACCAGCTTCTTTACAAGAATATCATGGGGCACCTTGTCAAATGCCTTGCTGAAATCAAGGTAGGCTACATCCACTGCCTTCCCTTCATCTACCAGGCTTGTAATTCTGTCAAAAAACGAGATCAGGTTAGTGTGACATGACTTATTTTTCAGAAATCCATGCTGACTATTGGTGATCACAGCATTCCTTTCCAGGTGCTCACAGACTGTTTGCTTAATGATCTGCTCCAGAATCTTCCCTGGTATTGATGTCAGACTGACTGGGCGGTAATTATTTGGGTCCTCTCTTTCCCCCTTTTTGAAAATTGGGACAACATTTGCCCTCCTCCAGTCTGCCGGGACTTCGCCTGTTCTCCAGGAATTCTCAAAGATGACTGCCAGTGGTTCTGAGATCACATCTGCCAGTTCTTTTAATACTCTTGGATGCAGTTCATCTGGCCCTGGAGACTTGAATACATCTAAACTAGCCAAGTATTCTTGTACTATCTCCTTAGTTATTCTGGGCTGTGTTTCCTTTGCTGAATCATTTGCTCCAAATTCTTCAGGTCGGGCATTGTTTTCTTTATCGGAGAAGACTGAGGCAAAGAAGGCATTGAGGAGTTCAGCCCTTTCTGTGTCCCCTGTTTGCATTTCACCATCTTCTCCTCTGAGTGACCCCACTGTTTCTTTGTTCTTCCTTTTGCTACAAACATACCCATAAAAGCCCTTTTTGTTGCTTTTAACCTCTCTAGCAAGCCTGAGTTCATTCTGTGCTTTAGCTTTTCTGACTTTGTGTCTACACGTGCTGGCTATTTGTTTGAATTCCTCTTTGGTGGTTTCCCCCCTTTTCCATTTTTTGTACACATCCTTTTTAAATCTTAACTCAGTTAAAAGTTCTTTAGATAGCCACCCTGGCTTCTTTAGGCACCTTCCATGTTTCCGTCTCATTGGTATTGCCTGATGTTGTGCTTTTACTATCTTCCTCTTAACAAACTCCCAGCCATCATGAACTCCCTTTCCTTTTAGTATTACTGTCCATGGGATCTCACCCAGCACTTCCCTAAGTTTTATGAAGTCAGCTTTCTTAAAGTCAAGAAATTGAGTCCTAGTATGCTTGGCTGCTCCTTTCCGCTGTATAGTAAACTTCAGAAGAGCATGATCACTCGCGCCTAATGATCCTTCCACTTCTACCCCACTAACCAGGTCATCAACATTGGTTAGGACCAGATCTGAAATGGCTGTTTCTCTTGTTGCTTCTCCCACTTTCTGGACAATGAAGTTGTCTGCAAGGCCAGTGAGGAATCTGTTTGACCTTATGCTCTTGGCTGAGTTTGACATCCAACAAATATCCGGGTAATTGAAGTCCGCCATTACTACTATCTCCTTCTTTTTGCATGCTTGGCCATCTGTTCCAGGAAGGCATCATCTATGTCCTCCGTTTGGCTTGGGGATCTATAGTAAACTCCCACAATGAGGTCACTGTTATTCTTCTCTCCCTTAATTTTGACCCAAATGCTCTCACTTTGGCTTTGAGGTTCTAAATCTTGGATCTCTTCACAGGTATACACATCCCTGACATATAACGCCACTCCTCCTCCTTTCTTGTCTGGTCTGTTTCTCTGAAATAGATTGTATCCCCAAAATATTACATTCCAATTATGGGACTTATCCCACCAGGTTTCAGTGATGCCTATTATGTCATATTTAGTTTGCTGTACCAAGAGCTCAAGCTCATCTTGTTTATTTCCCATGCTTTGCGCATTAGTGTACAGACATTGAAGTCCATTAATCATTCCCCGTGTTTCTTATTTAAGGATTTTTCCTCCCACCACTAGGTCTGCGTGCTGTTTGCTCCATTTGGTCTATGACATTTGGATGATCATCTTCATCAATTGATAGACTCCTACCTTCAGGAGCACTGTCTCCCTCCCCCACATTAGTCAGTTTAAAGCCCTCCTGATGAGGTTTCTGAGATTTTTGGCAAAAACATTTCTCCCAACCGTTGTGAGGTGCAGCCCATCGCTTGCCAGAAGTCCATCTTCAAGAAACTGCAGTCTGTGATCTAAGAATCCAAACCGTTCCTGTTTACACCATTTGCGAAGCCAGCTGTTCACTTCCACTATTTTTCCCTCTCTCCCTGGGCCACGTTGTTCAACTGGGAGGACAGATGAGATGACAATTTGTGCATTTAATTGCTTCAATTTCCTGCCCAGAGCCTCGTAGTCTCTTTTGATCTTCTGGAGGCTATTGCTTGCAGTGTCATTGGTTCCCACATGAACCAAGAGGAAGGGGTATTTGTCAGTGGGTTTTATGATTCCTTGCAGTCGTTCAGTTACATCTTGGATCTTAGCCCAGGGAGACAGCACACTTCCCTAGACATCTTGTCAGGCCCACAGATCACTGCTTCTGTTCCCCTCAGTAGGGAATCCCCTATCACCACTACACGCCTCCTCTTAGGTTTGGTCGGGGTTCTTCCGTGAGCTGTCCGTTCCAAGGTTCCTGCACATTCCCTGAGGACTGACTTTGCTGCTCGTCTTCATATACCTGATCGACTGTAATGAGGGAGAGATCCTCAAATGGAGTCTGCTCTTCGTCTTCCATGCTAGGGGAGAGGACCTCAAAGCGATTGTGTATTTCTAAACAATCAGAGCGAACCCTGGGCCTCCTACTTCTTTGAGTCACGTTTCTCCATATATCTGGCTCCTGTGTTGGTGAACTAGCCTCCTTCTCAGGGAGTCCCCTGTCTCCTCCTTGGTGGAGACGGTGTGCTCTGTTGCTTCCAAGAAGAGCTCCAGCTCTCTAATTCTTTGGAGCGTAGCTACACGTTCCTCCAGTTGCTGGACTTTGTCTTTTAAGAGTCAATCAACATGCAATTGCTGCAGGTAAAGCTGCCTGCAACCTTTGGCAAGATGGCAAACATTGCGCAGGAACCGCAGGCGACTGCAGCTGTTCCCTCCCCCTCCATCTTGAGAACGTGTCGTTGGGGGTGGCTACAGCGGTCCTCCATCATAAAAAGCGTGAAGACAGGACAAATAACTCCCCCCCACAAAAAAACCTAGGTCTCCCCCAACAAACGTTTGAGACTAGCTCCCCTAAATCTAAAAGATGGATCAAACTGCCCTGCAAGCTCTGATAAGCTCCTCCCACAGCTAATCACCTGCCTCAACAGAAACCCTGCCCCCTCTGACCTTTGCACAGGGAGAGCAGTAATTGATGCAAAAGGGGCCCAAACCAAGTACTGAGTACATATGCATGCTTCTACTTCTCAGAGGTGCAATATTGCTCTATTTGCAGTCCTTGTTTTGCTGATTTCATTTAATATTCTAATTTTCTGAGATTGTTAATTTGGGGTTTTCATCAGCTGTACACCATAAACATCACAATTATAACAAATAAAGGCTTGACATATCTCGCTTTGCATGTCATGAGTCTATCTCATATATTAGTTTCACCTCTTAAGTTGAATTACTGAAATAAATGAACTTTTCCACAATATTCTAATTTTTCGAGTTTCACCTGTACGTGTGTACCGTCTATGAAACCAGTGCTGGGAGAGGTACCACTTGCCAATGCAACAATTATGTGGTCTCCATGGAGATCACTTCTGATTTGCCCCAGATCAAGAAGGGCATAGTTGCGCTTTGCCAGCGCATCAACTAAATGATTGGGGACACATGCCTGCGCTGTCTAATGAAAAAGTGCGGCTACAGCCAACACCCAAAAAAACAAAGAAGCCTGAAGTCCTGGGCTACAACCATCGCCCCTTCAAAAATGAAAACAAAACAAAACCTTAAGGCTTGAGCAACTTGTTTTACTGCACATTCATTCTGATTTGTTTCCAGGGAGGTTAGACGGCAGTTGCATCTACACCATACATTGATGTATGCATGTATGCATTTCATGCAAGTTTATATGCTGTTTGATTCTTAAAAAAACACAGAATCCCTCAAAGGGGTTTATACAAAGAATGCAACAATAAAATCATTAGTAAAAACAATGAAAACATTCAGTAAATTAAAACCAGCAGGAAACATAAACACGTCAGTATTTCAGACAGAGAAGGAGGCTTGTCTAAACAAAAATGCTTTAAGTGGGCGCCAAAAAGAGTACAGTGAAGCTGCCTGCAAGATATCAATTGGCAGGGAGTTCCAAAGTGTAGGGGCCACCACATTAAAAGATCAGTTTCTTACAGTTGCAGTACGGGTATTGTGTGCCCCCTCCACAGATCAAAGCAGTCTGAGAGGGCATGTATGGGGTAAGACAATCTCACAGACAAATCTGTAGTTTGTTTAGGGTCCTGGGAATTGTAGCGCTGTGAGGGGTAAACTACAGTTCTCTAGGTTCTTTGGAGGAGGCCATGTGCTTTAAATGTATGCTGTGCATGTGAGCGATGTTGCATCAAGCCAGCATTATCCCACACGTTCCAGTGCACTTTCTCATCTCTTACACTTTTGGGGGGAGTGGGTTTGTTGTGCAAGGCCTCCCAACTGCCTTGCCCAGAGTCCCGTAGGAAGAAGAACTAGCCTCTCAGCACCCTTAAAAAACTCCAGTTCCCAGGATTTTAGAGTGTAAATAGGTGTGACATTGCTTTAAATGTATGGTGCAGATGGGGCCTAAAACCACAAGGAGATGAACATCTGGGGCAGAGAGTGGAAGGCTTAGGGCAAGGAAGTCTTTGCACAGGAATGGACGGATTATGAAGTCACAGAATCAAAGAACCATAGAGCTAGAAGGGGCTAGAGGGGCATCTAGTTCAACATCCTACAATGCAGTTGCCATGGTCGGAACTGGGGAAAGCCAGAAGCGAAGTTGAATGAAATGCCAAGGCAAAGGAGTTTGGCGAGAGATCTGGCCGTGGTGCCTTTTGCTTCCCTCCTGAGTCACCCTGAGAGCAAACGGGTTGCTGTGAGTATGGCAAATTGAGAGCAAAGCAAAGAGTACCTTCAGACCATCGCTAGTCTTGGGTGGGATTCAGGCACATAATACCCATTCTGCATCTGTAAGAAACTGATGCGGTGGTCCCTACACTTTGGAACTCCTTGCCGTTTGATATCTTGCAGGCAGCTTCACTGTACTCTTTTTGAAGAAGAAGAAGAAGAAGAAGTAGTAGTAGTAGTAGTTTGGATTTGATATCCCGCTTTATCACTACCCGAAGGAGTCTCAAAGCGGCTCACATTCTCCTTTCTGTGAGGTGAGTGGGGCTGAGAGACTTCAGAGAAGTGTGACTGGCCCAAGGTCACCCAGCAGCTGCATGTGGAGGAGCGGAGACGCAAACCTGGTTCCCCAGATTACAAGACTACTGCTCTTAACCACTACACCACACTGGCTCTTTAGAGAGAAAACATTTTAAGTAAGCACCTTTTTTGGCACCTACCGTATTTTTCGCTCCATAAGACATACTTTTTTCCTCCTAAAAAGAGAAATGTCTGTGTGTCTCATGGAGCGAATGCCTATGGATGGCAGGGGGATCCTGCTGCAGTTGCGAGCAGAGGATCCACGGTTCCCCTTCCTTCCCTCCTCCGTGGCTCACTTTGACGCAGCAAAGCGGGAGAGGAGCCGCTTACATGGGTGTAAGCGGCTCCTGTCTGGTTGGCTGCTTTAAAGGTACCGTGCTCTCTTTCCCTCCCTCCTCCCCGCTCAGTTCGCTGAAAAGCTCCTTCTCCACACACCCCATGTGTGCTCCTTGTCCCTTCAGTACTTAAACCCTTCTCCCGCATTATTAGCAGCCTCCTTCTCCACACACTCAACACGTGCTCCTTGTCCCTTGAGTGCTTTTCCTTCCCTCCCCACTTAAAATGTGGTTACAAAGCACAAGTCCACATGGATCCTCAGGATTTTTGCATTGGGTCGCCCCAAATTCACCATCAGATCACATAGCATGTCCATGGCTACAGCCTGCACCAAAAAAATCACGCACCCACTGTTGCCTGGGGCCACAGTGGCGCAAAAACATGGTTACAAAGCACGGCTCCACATGGATCCTCAGGATTTTTGCATTGGGCTACCCCAAACTCACTGTCAAATCACATGTCTGTGGCCACAGCATGAACCACAAAAATTATACATCCACTGTTTCGTTCAGAATATTTTTTTTCTTTTCCTCCTCTAAAAACAAGGTGTGTCTTATGGTCCCGAAGGATGTACTGAAGGATGGTACAAAATATGCCCCCTGTGGGGAAAGCTGATAGTTTTCCAGGACTTCTGAATTTCTGTAATACACTATGGAAATAAGAGAGAGCTGGAGACACCTGTCCTTGTTCTCCGTTGCTCTCCTGCCATAGTTACATTCGCCTAGGGATTGAAACAACGCATTAGGATGAAAATGGTAAGGTGTTTATGGAACGTACAGAGATACCTTCTGTTTAAAACAGGAGACCAGTAAGACTCTGCTCACAAGGCGACCGGAGCCCACATACTGCAGGCTCAGGAGGGAATTGGAACCTACAGGTGGGACAACTTTAATAAGCAGCTATATGTTAGCTGGCCTGGCATTACAGGGATGATGGAGTTTGGTCAGAATTGGACTCCCGTCACAAATCCCCATATGCTGTGGGCTAGTCCTGGATGCACCTTGGAAGGGTGGTATGGTGGGGGTGGAGGCGGCTATTTGACTGTGGCCCAGATGTAATAGGAAACCATGTTTTGGGGAGGATTCCAGATTCAATCTCCGCCATATCCTGGTAAGGCTGGGAGAAATCCTTGCCTGTGGCAAAGGACGGTATCAGCCAGTCAGAGCAGACGATACTGAATTAGATGGACCAATCAACTGACTTTGTATAAGGCAGCGAGCATCACATGAGCTGCAGTGTGCCTTGCATGCTCCTCTCTTCCCCTTCCTCTTTTCCAGCTGTTTTGCTATGGCCACACTGAGGAATGGCGAGGGGAAGTGTGCAAGCCTTGGGGGCTCATTTTCATAATATTTGTAGTATGCTCAAGTTCATAATGATAAATCATGGTTTAGCTAAATCATGCTAAACGCATTTTCATGATGCGAAACCATCACTATGTCTGAATGTAGGCATAATGTCCATACCTGTAAGATATTTGAGAGCTTCAAATGAGGTTTCTTCATATTCATTCAGAAACATCTGAATCTGCTGCATACTGATTCTCAGATCAGATTCTTTTAATTCATAAGGAATGTTCCAAGCTGTCCAGGTCAGAGTGGGGGGAAAGTGAGTCTGCAAGACAGCAAGCTTTCTTCTTCTGATGGCAAACAATAAAATGCCATTCAATGCTAATAGGCTACGCTGAAACAAAACTATAGTGAAGCCCAGGCATATGTCTCAGTATTGGATCCAAGAGGGAGATATTTATCTTTAATTAACTTCCCTGACAGTTCACCGGTGTGTTCCAGGTCTTACATTAATTTGAGCCGCTAATGTTAAATATTATTTAATGTGCCCCTCAGCTGTCATTTGAAAGCTGCTGAGCTCAAAACTGAACAGCTGCATTCTGATGGACACAGAAAAGCCACAAGTGCCTCTGGTTAATTTGAACAGAAGCTGCCTATACTGTATGGCCACCTAGGAAATCTGAGCAAAATAGACCCAAGTTTGTAACCACATAAAAATACTCCCATTTGTTATTTGAGGTGCTTTGGGCAGCAAAAACGGCCCAGTGAGTGACATACCGAGGAAATCTTCAATAAATCTAAGCCCCCGCTTAATTGCACAGACTGACACAATGATTGGTGCAATGGTTGTGCCATTACTGGCATGGGGTCAAAAGCTGTTGCCAGTGCCTGTTTAATCCATGCTGTGCTGTTCCCTAGTTTAGAGGTGCAGCACATATACGTTGAGAGCATCAGTGTGGTGTTGTGGACAGCGCAGTAGATCAGGGAGATCCACTTTAAATTCCCCACTCGGGAATATGGATGGGTGAATCTGTCCCTTTAGGTTTCTAATATTTCCAGTCTTAAATGCAGTTCTTCACTGCCTCTAGGGATCCCAGTTTGGGGGCCTCACAAGAGCCCAAGAAGAGCCTGCTGGATCAGCCAATGGCCCATCTAGTCCAGAATCCTGTTCTCATAATGGTCAACCAGATGCCTGAGCGCAACTCGCAAGTAAGACTTGAACACAACTCTTGCCTTCTGTGGTTTCCAGCAACTGGCCTTGCGAGGCATTACTGCCTCTGACCATGGAATCTCTGGCTCAGGTTTAGAATTGGGGACCCGGGTCTGGGCCCAGCACCTCATCTGCTTGCACTGCCATTTTTTTTGAAAAAACCTGGCTGTACACTCCTCCTCTGGGTCAGAGTTTGAGCTGCTGCTCAGGGTGTGGGCAGTGAAAGATGCAAATTGCCGCCTTGTTCAACTGAAAGGCAGTTGTTTAAGAAATCTCACCTGCCATGGGATCAGTACCTGGTGACAAGACAAGAATGAGAGCTGCGAAGGATTTGGATTCATGGCAACTTCTAACAAGGTCAAATGTTGGGGGTTCAATATATATCTCCCCATATTGTCTATGATGAACCGCTGGGTGGCCGGGGTGATTTTAAGAGACTGGATGTAGATGTTAATAATCTTGTCTGTTTCCCCTAAAGTGTTACTCAGGCTGAAATCAGTAGAGCATGGGACTTTCTCCTCCTGCACAAAGCCAGCCATTTCTTCTGACATTCTGTACAGTAATCAACGGTAAAGGCTCGCCAAGAAGCCACCACCATCCCTGAAGATAAGAAGACATCCCCAATGAGGTCAGTGTATCAAATTCCTGGCAAGCGTGCTGCTTCCGTCCACCTATCCTTCTTGCCTCCTAAGCCACTGATCAGCTTTTCAGCCCTGTCCAGCTTCTGAGAGCTTACGTCAATGCTGTTCTCAAGTTCTTTCTTCCGGTTATTCAGTTCTTCCAGCTCATCATTTAGCTTCTGGAGGCAGTCAATCACCTTCTTGAGTTCTGCTCATTTCGTATTGAGCTCCTGCATTTGAACAGCAAGCAAACCTTCAGCCTCCCTGAGTCGTTCACGTTTTGGGGCCACCACCTTTGCGACACGGTCGTACACTTCCACGGCTCTCACTTCTTTGCACAAGCCTTCGCCGAGGATGAGACATTCTTTATGACAGCTGGCTGGAAGTCCGAATGGTGCCCATTGGACTTTGGGGGCAGAATGCAGGAGAGTCAAGAGGAGTGGGGAGTTAGAGCCAATGATAGGCAAAGTCTATAACAGCAGCCCTGGGGCTAAAGAGGAGCAGGAGCAGGTGGGGGCTGGCTAAGGACAGGCTTTGCTTGGTAGGACGGTGCCCCACTTACCCAGATGAACTAAACTCTACTGCTTGAATGTCTTGCTATACAGTGGTACCTTGGGTTACATACACTTAAGGTTACATATGCTTCAGGTTACACACTCCGCTAAACTAGAAATAGTGCTTCAGGTTAAGAACTTTGCTTCAGGATAAGAACAGAAATCGTGCTCCGGCGGCGTGGCGGCAGCAGGAGGCCCCATTAGCTAAAGTGGTGCTTCAGGTTAAGAACAGAGCTCTGGAACGAATTAAGTACTTAACCCGAGGGTACCACTGTATAATATAAAGTGATACGAGGACAATGCTCAATATCAACAAAGAAGCACATGACAACCCCTCCCAATAAAGGGTTTTTGGTTGTTGTTGTTGTTGATTTACCCCATCAAGGCTTTCCCATCACCATAGTTCCAGCCCTACATCTGCTAAAACTTCATTGTTTTTCCTGGTCATGCCTGAAAGGGTGACGGAATGTTGAGAACAAGCTCTTACATTCATTGATTTGCGATTGGAAAAGATATACATATTGTTCTTTAACCAGTCTTTCAAAAGTGGGACACAAAAATCCCAAATCTAAACTGTCCAATTCAACCTTATTAAACAAAGCCACAGGCATATGATTAACAAAGGCATCAAGAATAATTTCTCCCTCTTCTTTTTTAATTAAAGAAGGGAGGTTTCATTTATTTATTTATTTAAACAAATTATTCACACATTACGAGGCCATAAATGCAATGGATTACCTTGACTCCAGGAGGAATGCTTGGCTCCTCCTTTCCATTCCGAATGTTCCCTGGTTTGCTGGCTAAGCAAATGCCGCCATTCAGAGGAATACCCAGACACAGCTTACCCATCGTGCCAGGCTCTGACCCCCAGGAAACAAGGCTGCGAGTTGGCGGCCAGCAGCTGGGAAATTCCCGTGCCAGCCGCTTGGATTAGCCGGCTTTCCCGCTATCTCTTTCTTTGAATTCTGGCCAATACAGATTTGGCCCCAGCCAAATCCAACCTACACCTGGAATCAATAAAGATGTGGCCTAATTTACATCCCATAACATCCAATTTTTTCACCTAACTTACCCCTTTTTCCTGTTGATTCACATCAACCAAAATACCCTCTGTGCCCCAGATATATAACCTTCATGTAGGATTGTGATGTGAGCTGACATCCCTGGCTTGAACCTGTATCTGAGCAACCAAACAGCAGAGGAGAGGCAGTTGAAAGTTTTGGCAGCAGGGGTGCCAACTTGAATAAAATGGGGGGCGGGGCGGGAGGTAAGTGGTCCATGCACACCATTGGTGGTCCACGCACACCATTTGAATGGCAATGCCTTTCTGCATGTTCCGTGGTTCGTGGGCTAAGGAAATGGTGCCCTTCGGAGAAATGCTTGGCTCCTCCTTTCCTTTCCGCCTGTTCCGTGGTTTGTGGGCGAAGAAATGGCGCCCTTCGGAGGAATGCTTGGCTCCTCCTTTCCGTTCCGAATGTTCCCTGGTTCGCTGGCTAAGCAAATGCCGCCATTCAGAGGAATACCCAGACACAGCTTTCCCATCGTGCCAGGCTCTGACCCCCAGGAAACAAGGCTGCGACTAGGTGGCTGGCAGCTGGGAAATTCCGTTCCGGAGGTCCGGTCTTAAAACAAAGTGGACTTAAAACAAGGCGTGCTTTCCTATAGAAAGTAATTGAAAATGGATTGATCTGTTCTAGACAATGAAAAACACCCCCTAAAACAGCAATTTAACACGAATTTTACTGTCTAACGAGACCATTGATCCATGAAATGAAGGCAATAATCAATGTACTGTACTATAAAATAAATAAGACAGTATTGTAGATGAAAAAATTAACATTTCTTTTTTTTCTTACGTGCACTGATGATAGCCATTGTTTGGATGGGGGACTTTTATCCATTTTTGCAGTCACACAATCAACCAGTAGCTGAACTAGGTTCCACACGGTTACAACACAAGTCACAAAAACGAAGTCACAAGGCACAGTCACAGGTCAGTCCCATAAAACAAAGCCACAGTCAAAAAACCGAAAAAGCCACAGAAACCAAAATGCAAAAAATTAAAAATTTTAAAAAAGCAAAAACAAAACCTCCAAATATCACCTCTGTGTTGCTTGGGTGCAAGGGACTCAACAGCTGGCAGACTCAAATAGGAAGCCTCAATTAACAAATGGGACTCAATTAACAAAGGAAACACTCAACAGGAACCAGACAATGAAAAGTGACCCCAAAAACAGCAGCTGAGCACTCATTTCCAGATCGCAATTGGACTTAGTCCAAAACGACTTATAATAGACTGGACTTTTGTCAAGGTTCCACTGTAGTGGATGATCCTAAGAAATAGGAGGGTTTTGGAATTAGAATGTCATGATTTGAGGTTTGAATGACATGGATATATGTCGTATGACAAGGTCAAAGTGAATGTGGACTTGAAAAATCATTTTGTTAGACGCACTATGTTGAGAATCTGGAATAGATAGGTTTCATTTGAAAAGAGGCGACAGGTAAAGAGAAATGGTTAGTTTAGGGAGACCAGGTGACTTCACCTATTACAGCTTTTCATTGTATAGGTTTGTTAGATTTGTGCATTGCTTCCCACTAAGGAATTCCCAAAGCTATGTACAGCTGTTCTGGTTGGTGCCAGAACATTCCTACATCCCACTCTTCCTGAATTCTGGGTGAACTGGAATAATTCCTAAACCACAAATTCCAGAACTGCAGCATACGTGCTTTACTGCACTTTTGCGTTTCTTCCATTCATTCTTTTGCCTGCACATACCAGTGTGTTCTGCAGTTTAACCTGGACACAGCTCAACATGGACTTCCTCAATGACATTTCCATATCCTTCTGGGGCACAAATGAGCTGGGAGAATTAACACAGTTGTTCCCACAATCTTATGGGGCAGCAAGGTGGGGGTGGGCAAGTGGGAAAATGAAGCCCTCAGGATGCTTACCAAGCAAAGCAGTATACAGTGTCATCATGGAATGAGTGAGATGGATGATGACCCTGCAATGATGGCAAATAAATTCCAAACAGAAACCACCCAGAAATTGATACAGGAATCTATCCTGATACGGCAAACTGCGGATGAAGTTAAGGAGAAAACCCTCACTGCTGAAGTTAAAGTAATTCAACTGGAGAGAGAGTCCCATCCATACAAGGACGATTTGATGAATACGAGCTGACACCTGATATGACTGAACTTAAAGAGAAACAGATGAAATTGAGGATCAGAGCCCTACCCGAGGAAAAGGAAACCTTGATAGAGTTTCAGGAGGAGATAGGACTAACATTGGTTGAGAAAGAGAGGTATTGGGGGGTTAGTATGACCGCCAGAAATGTGAATTTATTCAAGGGCAACTGTGAAGGACGTTGGCTTGAAGACAAGGGGGATTTGGAAATAGGGCTAAATTGGAAGTTGCTATTTTTTTTATAAAATAATATTTATTAAATTTTAAAGGGTTACAAAAGGAAAAAATTAAAAAACAGCATATTAAAGAAATACAAAACATCACATCACAATAATAAAAAAAAGAAAAAAGAAAAAAAAAGAAAAAAGAAAAATACAATGAATCTTCCCATAACTTATCTTTCATTTGCTTATTTCCTTGACCTCCTCACACCTCCCTTTTTTGTATTCTAGTTCAATTAGCTATTTCAGCAAGTCCTTTCCATCTTTTCCAGTTTTTGTCCTCTATTTTATCTTAATATAATGTAACTTTACTTTCCCTCCTTCACCATTTAGCAATCTATTTTTTCTTAATCCTTTATAGCATTTCTGCTAAAACCACATTATTTCATTCCAACATCCTTCTAACATTCCTTAATTTTACAATGTTTCTGTAAATAAACTTTAAATTTCTTCCAATCTTCTTCCACCAACTCTTCTCCCTGGTCTCGGATTCTGCCAGTCATTTCCGCCAGTTCCATGTAGTCCATCACCTTCATCTGCCATTCTTCCCAGGTGGGTAGATCTTGTGTCTTCCAATACTTCGCGATGAGTATTCTTGCTGCTGTTGTGGCATACATAAAAAAAGTTCTATCCTTTTTTGGCACCAATTGGCCGACCATGCCCAGGAGAAAGGCCTCTGGTTTCTTCAGAAAGGTATATTTAAATACCTTTTTCATTTCATTATAAATCATCTCCCAGAATGTCTTAATCCTTGGGCACGTCCACCAAAGGTGAAAAAATGTGCCTTCAGTCTCTTTACATTTCCAACATTTATTATCGGGCAAGTGGTATATTTTTGCAAGCTTGACTGGTGTCATGTACCACCTGTAGATCATTTTCATTATATTCTCTCTTAGGGCATTACATGCCGTAAACTTCATACCTGTGGTCCATAACTGTTCCCAGTCAGCCATCATAATATTATGTCCTACATCTTGTGCCCATTTAATCATAGTTGATTTCACCGTTTCATCCTGAGTATTCCATTTCAACAGCAAGTTATACATTCTTGACAAGTTCTTAGTTTTGGGATCTAACAGTTCTGTTTCCAATTTTGATTTTTCCACCTGGAAGCCAATTTTTTAATCCAAATTGTACGCCTCCATTATTTGGTAATAATGGAGCCAATCTCGCACTCTATTTTTAGTTTTTCAAAACTCTGCAATTTTAATCTGTCTCCCTCTTGTTCCAAAATTTCCCAATATTTCGGCCAATTGGCCTCCATATTGAGCTTTTTCTGAGCCTTCGCTTCCATTGGTGACAGCCACCTTGGGGTTTTATTTTCAAGCAAGTCCTTATATCTTATCCAGACATTAAACAGTGCTTTTCTGACAATATGGTTTTTAAACGCTTTATGTGCTTTAACCTTATCATACCACAAATATGCATGCCACCCAAATACGTTGTTAAAACCTTCTAGGTCCAGCACGTCAGTATTTTCAAGAAGCAGCCATTCTCTCAGCCAGCAAAACGCGGCTGATTCATAATAAAGTTTAAGGTCTGGCAGGGCAAATCCACCTCTTTCTTTAGCATCGGTTAATATCTTAAATTTTATTCGAGGCTTCTTGCCCTGCCAGACAAATCTAGAAATATCTCTCTGCCACTTCTTGAAACAATCCATTTTATCCAAAATTTGCAATGTTTGGAACAGAAACAGCATCCTTGGCAATACATTCATTTTTATCGCAGCAATTCGGCCTAGCAATGATAACTTCAGATTTGACCATATTTCTAAATCTCTTTTCACTTCCAACCAGCATTTTTCATAGTTATCCTTAAATAAATTCACATTTTTGGCAGTCATATTGACCCCTAGGTATTTCACTTTCTTAACCAATGTTAATCCTGTCTCCTTCTGAAACCTCTCTCTTTCAATCCCTGTTAGATTTTTCTCTAAAACCTTAGTGTCGGGGAACTGACATCGGAGCTAGAGGCGGAGGGAAGGCTCTCAAATGATGCTGGAGAAGGGCCCAGCAGGGAGAGAGGCAGCTCAGCAGATGGGGAAGCAAATCAGCGCCACACCAGGGATAAAGGGGGGCAGATGGGGGAATCGGCGAGAGGGCTCCAGGACTCTTCACCGGACACCAGCGGGGAGAGCACGGGTCCTCCGCTACCCACGCCCTTCCTGCGCAGAAGGCTTCCGCGCAGGGAGAGTAGGAGGAGACTTGGCGTCAAACAACTTTTATGTTGGAAAAGGTTTAAGAAATGCCCACTGACGGATTCTGCTAGCGACTGAGGCAGCCACAAAGTGAAGGGCTGTCCAGACAGAAAGGTTTAACAAGGCAACATAGCCAGCAGAGGCGGTAACTTACGCACGAGCAACCCATACTCATTACACTTAGTTTTCATCTTATTCAGCTTAAAACCAGCTACCTGACCAAATTCTTGAATCAATTCCAGTACTCTTTTGGTACTAGATTCTGGCTCCTGTAATGTCAGTACCAAATCATCGGCAAATGCTTTCAATTTGTACTGTTTGGCTCCGACTTGTATACCTTTAACCATTTGGTCCCTTCTAATCATGTTTAAGAGAACCTCCAAGACGGATATAAAAAGCAATGGGGAGATTGGGCAACCTTGTCGTGTTCCTTTCTCTATCTTAAATTCTTCCGTCACTACATTATTTACAATTAATTTAGCCTTTTGTTCTGAGTAAATTGCACCTATACCATTTCCAAAACCTTGGCCAACCCCCATCCCCTGTAAATTCTTCTTCATAAAACTCCAGGAAATATTGTCAAAGGCTTTCTCCGCATCCACAAATATCAAAACTGCTTTAGTGTTAATATTCACTTGTAATTTTTCTAAAATATTAATTATATTCCTCGTACTGTCAGACAAGTGTCTGCCCGGGAGAAAGCCCGCTTGATCTTTATGAATTTCTTCTACTAGTACCTTTTTTAATCTTTTAGCCAAAATGTCTGCAAAAATTTTATAATCCACATTAAGCAAAGATATGGGGTGGTAATTCTTAAGCTGTGTCTTCTTGGACTCTGTTTTCGGTATAAGTGTGATGTATGCTTCCTTCCACTACTCTGGTGCCCTTTTCCCTTCCAATATTTCATTACAAACTTCTTTTAATGGCTGTACTAACCATTCTTTCAGAGATCTATAATATCTTGAAGTCAAACCGTCCGGTCCTGGAGATTTGCCCAGTTGCATATTCTGGATGGCCCCTTCTACCTCCTGCTCCGTTATTTTGTTGTTCAACATTAGTTTGTTTTCTTGAGAGATTTTTTGTAGCCCCTTTGTCTTCAAAAATCGGTCAATGTCCACTTCCAAATTTGTAATGGTATTAAGTTTTTGTCTTTTCATTTGCCAAGCC